TTGACTATAGCATTGTACTGAAAGACCTAGAGATTTCTAGAGAAGTAAAAAAAATGTGTTTTTAAATCATGTTTTCCCCATATTTATGGGTGTTCTTGCCCCTCACCCCAGCAAAAGTGGAGGGCTAACTACAGTTCTGCAAATAAATGAGTGCTTGCATAAACATAGACTGGAGATAAAAGAATTGGGGAATGCTGTAGCAGTTGTTTTGCTTACATAGGTCTACTTGCACAAGCTCTGATACAAGAAGAATATCATCGTGGCCCACGCATAAATTTCATGTGTTACAAACTATACATGAATAGGAGGGTAAGAAATGCAGCTTTTTGATGGATGATAGCAATAAAGATGAACAAGAAATATATATGCAGCATTCTTCTCACTTTCATTGGAGGTGCTTCTCATATAGGAGAGAATGTTTTAGTATTTAGAAATGTTAGAATTTGACTTCTAACTCTGCTTGGTTTGGTAAACATTACAAAACATTTTAGGCAACTACAAAATGGGTACAGCATTCTCCAAAAGAATGATGTACCCATTTTGTAGTTGTCTACAATGTTGCTTGTCCAATATTCTGCCAGACCATTTATGTTGGATAAGTGAGACTCTACTGTAAATGAACCCTGTTTTCTAGACTATCTCATTTTAGTGGACATTGACTTTCTTGTTATTATCTATTAAAGTGGTAGTCCTGGCAACTCCCCTTTATTTCTTACCATTCTGTCTCCTCTTTGTCCTGTATGAATATGCCTTCTCAAAACCAGGTCCTAAATAACTTTCAGTCTTGCTAGTTTCTGGTGTTAAAAGGAAATGTATCTCTGATTGGTGTGTAAAGTCCAGATATTAGTTCATTAGTTCATTTCTCACCTTTCTGGCTGAGCTATGTTGTTCCCCCAGAGTGGTGATTTTCTGTTTTGTGACATTAAAAAAATCTCTACCAGAAGTTACTCAATTATTAACAGATCATACTGAATAATTTTAAGCATTTTTGGCATGGTGATATGCATATTACAATCTGTCCATGACATACATTTAGAAGCATAATGTCCCACTCTCAGAGGTATTGAAGGTGCCAAGTTCATGTCATTCTGACATGCCGTTCAGGCTGAAGGCATCAATGTATTCTGTTGGCCAAGTTTGACAACTGAGTTTTTGTGAGAGCCCCCTGCTAGGATGGAAAGAAAAGAGAAGTGCCTATAAACAATGTGTGTTTACTGGAGGTGCTCAGTGGGTATCAAAATCAAGTGGGCTTTTTCCTCATCTAACTTTTAAAACTTGTAGATTGAAAATATACCATCCATTGAAATGCTACAAACTCCGTAACATTTCACAGGGGAAAAGTAGGACAGAGGAGGCCAAATAACACCAGAATATGGTCAAGATGGCAAAATATATTTATGAATGAGCCATCTGGGAAGGGCAAGATCATGCCCCCTCCCGTAGTCTCTTCCTTGTTTTCCCAATGAGTCATGTCTTCTCATGATATGCCCAAAATACAGGAGTCTCAGTTTAATCATATTGGCTTCTAGGGAAAGTTTAAGCGTGATTTGTCCTGGACCCATATGTTTGTCTTTTTGGTAGTCCACTGTGTCCATAGAACAGACCCAATTTCCAATTATCTGATTTTCTTATCAGCTTTCTTCACTGTTCTGTTTTCACAGCCCTATGTAGAAATTGAAATATGATGGCATGGACAATCCTGACTTTGATATTCAAAGATATATCTTTATTTTAAGAATAATGTCTTCCAGCTCTTCCAAGTCCTAGTCTTCTTCTAGTTTCGATTACCGTAATACCATTTTTATTCATTCTTGACCCAAGGCATAGGAAATATTTTACAATCTCAGCTGGGATTGCTGCAGTCAAAGTTGCCCAGAATCAGTCTAAAGAGAAACATCCTGATTGGGATCTAGCCTCTGTTTAGTCGTAAGGTGTTGTTTCTGTCATTGAATCCATAAATGACACTCTTCTGGGGTGGTTAGGACTAGACTTCAGGTTAGAAGTCCAGGATCCTATAGGACCACTCCCTTTATCCTGCAATTACTAGCCCAGTGGAGTTCTTTCATGTTCAGACTGCTGACTGATAGCTAGGAGAAGGAAAACAGAAAACTTGAGGCAAGAAGAGAATGTAATGGAATACCTGGAAGCTGAACAACACTGAAGTATTTGCTGCAGGTCTCCCTTGTCTTCAACAATACCTTTGTTATTACCCTAAATACAAGTAATAGAATAAAAATTGAACATTTTTCAACACTGAGGCTACACATGCAGTCTCCTTCCCTCTCTCCCTCTGCTTTTGTGTACATACCCACATGTGAATGTGTGCCTTTATAGAGCTGGATTTGTGATAGCAAAGCTTTTTAGTTTTCTGATATTATTGCTTTCTGAAAAGCATTTAACTCATTTTCTAAAGCATGTGCATAATAATAGCACCCCTTCTTAATTGCACTGAAAAATAACAACTCTCCTACAGTGGATTTTGAAGCTTTAATTTAAATTTCTCTTGGAACATTTGTACACCCACTTAGCATCTTCTGCAAATCCTACATTACATTATGTAGTTGGAAATAAGCATGGGGTTTTAGAAGCAGATTCAGAGAAGGTGAAAAAAAGCTGCAAAACAGTTGTAGCACTGCATTGTGTAGGAGCTTAAAGAGGATGGGTTTAGGATATAATAATAATAATAATAATAATAATAATAATAATAATAATAATAATAGGAAAAACTCAGCCATTATCAAGACTTCAAAATTGAACTGTAAAGACTCTGGCATAAACCAATAGAGGTGGTCCCAGTGGTAATCGGCACACTGGGTGCCGTGCCAAAAGCTCTCAGTTGGCATTTAGAAACAATAAACATTGACAAAATCACGATCTGTCAACTGCAAAAGGCCACCTTAAGGGCTGAGAATGGCGGTTAATAAATGCATCAAATAAATAAATAAATAAATAAATAAATTATTTGGATCTGCACATATCATTCGAAAATACATCACACAGTCCTAGATGCTTGGGAAGTGTTCGACTTGTGATTTTGTAATACAAAATCCAGCATATCTATCTCGCTTGCTGTGTCATACTGTGTTTTTGTGCCAGTAATATAATATAATATAATATAATATAATATAATATAATATAGTAAAACTTTATTTATATACGACCCTATCTCTCCAAGAGGACTAGGCATTTTCTAACACAGGGGAAAACATAACTGGGCAAAATATCTCCATCCACTTTTGTCAGGTGGTTTGTGACTGGCAAAAATTGGGGAAAGTAGTCAGCACTTTCTAGTGGGAGAAGACACCTTCTGCCCATATTTAGGATTACAGGTAGCTTACCGTTCCAAATAAGGCAGCCAAGGATTTTTGTCCCATTTAAAAAAAATGTGAAGGAATAAGCGTTTTGTTGCTAAAGCAGCTCAGTGCTTTCATTGTTAACATCAAAATTCCCATATGTGAATAACAGTGCATCAGTCACTTCATTTCATATTGTAGTCCACTTGCTGCCAGCATCTGAAAATTGTAAAAATCTATCTTCAGTGATAAAAATAATTAAGGATTGCTGGGGTCTGTGCATCCAGGAAATGCTAAAAACAAAGTCTTCATTAAATATTTCAACCCATAGCAATTCATTTAAATTGATCACATTTGTTTACTTTAAGAATGAGGTTTAAAAGTTGATTTTTCAATAAATTCATCAACTGACTAAATATGGGAGGTGAGAGCTGGCCTCAGGCCTAAGCAGTGGTAGAAGTAGGGATCATACATTGGACATGTCATGGCGGCCACATTATTGGCCTGGCTTGAACATAAAGCTAAAAAGTTTAGTGTTATATGCACAGCTTTGTTTATTCTTCATTTGTCTTCTTATGTGGTCACAAAGAGAAGGCCAGAAGAATTCACTTCCATTTTTAACCAGTTTGTTGTTATATCAGTATGGGGAACTGTGATTCTTTTAAAAAGAAGATCAGAATCAGTTAACACTAAACACTATTTGTCCCAAGCAACCAACTGTGGTACTGAAAATGAAGCAAATGCTTCCAGGCTCTTCATAACTTTGGGAGAGGTTTAGTACACAATACTGGGTTTTTTTCTTCCATAAAGCAGAAAACTGTATTCATGTCATAGGATGCTCGATGGTTTTAGTTCAGGGTTTTGTTTACATTAGAGGCATATATTCGGAAATTCAAACTAAGCAGAGGGAAAATATGATGTACAATGGTAACTAAGGGCCATATAAATAACAGTGAAAATTATGATATCCACTTCACAGAAGTCTTGACTATGTCTCATGACTTGCCAGGATTGCTGACTTTTTGCATCACACATTCTTATGAGCCACTCTAATACACTTAACTTCTAAGTCAAGGGGGGTTTCTTTGTCTATATGAGAATAAAACAGTGCGACTTGTCTGCGTTTAGTTAACTTTTGAAAAGTCCCTCACACACTCTAGGGCAGTGGTTCTCAACCTGTGGGTTCCCAGGGGTTTTGGCCTACAACTCCCAGAAATCCCAGCCAGTTTACCAGCTGTTAGGATTTCTGGTAGTTGAAGGTCAAAACATTTGGGGACCGACAGGTTGAAAACCACTTCTCATGTTTTGAGCGACCAGATGATTTTTCAGGATGGATGTGGTCCTTTTCTGAATATTGTGAGTTCTGATAAATTCCAACACTTTCAGATTCCTGGCATTTACAAGGGAGGGTGTGAAAACATGGAGAAAGAGCTCCACACCCCTTACATAGTGAGGTGATATTTAAAATGTAAACTCTATAAAATTTGAGAAAATATCAGGGCATTTGAGTAGAATTCCAGTTGTCTGGAAAATCAGCTACTGAGAGCTGAAGAAAGCTTCTTTAGCTTTTCTGGAAGATTTCTATCTTAAAGGTACATGGGCACTCTCCAGGACTGAAGTTTTATACATTACTGGCTACACAACTCTTAAGTTAAAATATATCTATAGATTTGTATCTATATATGATTGTTTTGCTTTGCTTTCCAGATGCAGCTGTGTGGAGCCAAGCAACCCCAGCAATAATACTTTACAATTTTGGGCATCCAAAAACAAGACTTCAGATGACATAACTTGGGGAAACCTAACTTGGAAAGTAAGTGTACCATTGAACACACAGCATGGACAGACTCAATGAATGTTCAAACAAATGTATAATGAAGGCAGGGTGAAATAGTGTTACATAGCCTTTTCTCTCCTAGGTATTTGTTTGAAGAGATATAGTGTTCAGGTATATTTATGGGAAGTTTCCCCTCTATGAGTTAAATTCCTATATTCATAGAATCGTAAGATCTCAGAGTTGGAAGCAGCTAAAAGAGCCATCTAGTCCTATGCAGGAATACACTGCTAAATCATTCCTGAAAGACATGCATCCAAACTCTGTTAAAAGCCATGGTAGTTCAAGCAGAGTCAAACTGCACCCTTAGTAAGTCTTTTCAGTGAGTGTTCCCTGTGGGTGCATATTTTTAACAACAGCGATATATGTGCACTAGTCTTGGTGTTTTACCAAGGAGTATTACTGAGATTAAGCCTACATTCATGAAATAGCAGCAGATTTGACCTAAATTCCACCAGATGGTAAATCTGAAGCTACAGTGTGTAAAAAGCATATAAGCTCCACATTTTCAGTTGAATACTCTTCCAGATGTTCAGGCTATGAGGACAAATCAAAATTGTCAAATTGCTGAGTTGTCAAAATTATTGCAAACATCCTTCTATACATACAGTCCACTATTGTCAGCAGTATAGATTGTGACCAGGTAAGCAGAAAACTTATTGAGAACAGCAGCAGATTTACTTCAAAATATAATAGCCTATTTCATCATCATTTCTTCTCCAGTAAGAGTAACCAATATATCCTTGCTGCCCTCAAGGTTTTTGAGGCTAGGATTGGTTCTTTGTTATTGTATGGCTCCCCTATTTGGATTTCTGCAATCAATAAATCATTTAATGCATCACATTCCAAGTTTCTCTGGAAACTAATGAGGCTCCCTAGATGTATGCCTTATGCCATTCTATGCATGGAGACAGGTGAAAATGCTCTTGAAACCTTGGCATGTATGAGAGCTATAAAATTCTGGCTGCATATACATTTTCAAGCAGACCTCCATGGCAATATTCTCTCTCTGTTATCAGATCATTTTATTTCAGAGTGGTATGTTTTGCTTCTCAAAAGGATTGAAGCAATTGTCCTGTCTTTGGAAGCACTCTTAATGCTCATACATGTGGAAATCTGCAAGTCATTCAAGAGCAGACGTTTGGATCTTGACTTCCATAATCTGAGTTGCCTAAGGGCTGAGAAGTGTGGTATACAAATATAGTAAATAAATAAATAGTAAATGAAATAATCTGACTCTTGCAGCAAAGACAACTTGTTCCCCTACCACATCATTAATTCCATGTGAGAATGAAGTCATGGCAGCATATATTTGCATTTTGATTGATCCCACCCAGAGGAGAGCTTTGGCAAGATGTAATGTGTTGCTATCATCTCTTTTGGATGAAGATATAAAAAAGTGGAATGTTCCAAAAGGGTTTGTTCTTGTGATTTGGTCTCTGTTGAAATACTTCATCATTCTTTGCATTTTTTGTTTTTTGCCCCACACATGATAATGTAAAGATGAAATACAGGACTTCAATTTTTCATAGTGTTCTTGATGACAAGGGTGTTATAAAATTCCATATCTGAACAACTCTGATGCATTCTTTTGTGAGACTGTTGCAAATTTTATCCTTGAGATTAGTAACTTTTAAGTGTGTTTTCTTTTCATCTGTGACTTCCACTTGTTGTATATACTTCTGTTGTATGACAATTTTGTTGTTCTGTGCCAATAAAGGTTCTCTCTCTGTGTGTGTGTGTAATAGCCTACATTTTCATTGTTTGTTTCATATTAACATAGAATCTGTATGGAGTAATAATGTGCTTTATATTTACCAAACTGTGCTTATATTTAGCATCTGTAAACAGTTAAAGGCACTTTCTGTTAAATAATCTCAAATTACACTAAATGTATAACATGTCCTATAGACTTTTAGTTAACTGGAACTCAAGCAACTCGAACTCTTCAGCAACTAGCAAACCGTTTAGGAAACATTTTAAAAAGCTGTTTTTATAATGCAGTAAAACAGTGTTACATTAAGTTAGTTTTGCCTTTGTTTTAAGGCACAAAATGCAACCCCCAAAAAGGATAAAAGATTCAGGGCTACATTATGGCCAGACAGGGATGCTGTCAACTACTTTTGTGGCAGGACAGCGGCCTCACAGCACAGCCATGCCGAAATCTGTTTGGCGTAGCTGGGAATGGGGCCAGTGGCCACCCCAATCATGCCAATTTCTCCCCAGAAGACATAAAACAGCAATGTACCTGATCATTGGGCTGTTTCCTTTCTGGTTGCTGCCATGTGACTGACAAGGCAGCTTTGGAGAAGTGAGCCCTCTCTCTGTTCCTCCCTGGCTGCCATGCTGCCTCAGCGCATCTCAGATGTGTATACTGTTTAAATGTTTTTATTTCAGTCTTGAAATTTTCACAACCACAAATGATTTTGACTAAAAACTGACATCAATATATTTTCAGTTTCCAGAAACAGAAATGAAGCATAGTTTTTGAAATATAACAAATTTCAAGGGGACTCCTTTGACTTTGCCTCATGAGTTTCAAAATAATTTACTTCAGCAAAAATTTCAACCATTCTATCAAAATTTCACTGCAAATAAAATTTGAAGGTATTCCTGTCGTATAAAGAGCCAATGTCATTGAATGTAGTGGTAGATCCAATTTTTGCAAGTGGACTGCTTGCATAATCAAAACTATCTATTACCCTTTTATTTAAGCTTTACCACCCACCTTCCGGTCTGCTCCTGGGGAATCCTATATTTGTGTGTGTGTGTATTTATGTAACCTTTAAAATAATTTGGTTGGCATTACTCAAACTTGTTCTCAGGGGGAGGAGGTCTGATACTGTCACTATGTTAGGACTGGGAAGCAGCACTTCTGCCTTTCCTGCCAGGCTTCAGTTTGAGACTCAAGAGATAAAAGACAAAGATCCATACATGGATCAGGGCCAGCGAAATGCTTCCCAATTTTTGCTGCTTTGTCCACCCCACCTACCCGCAATCTGCTGAAAAATGCAAGGGGCTGCCCTTTCCTTTTTTAATGAGAGGCTGGTTAATTGTTTTGTAAGGATTAATGGTGTGAACTAGAAATGGGAAACATGTTGCTTTCTGAGTGTTCTGTAATTCAACATCTATCACTGTTGTTGTGTGCCTGAGAGTCATTCCCAATCTATGGCAAATCTAAGGTGAACCTGTCACAGGGTTTTCTTGGCTATATTTACTTGAAAGATATTTGCTATTACCTTCCTCTGAGATTCAGGGAGTGCGACTTGGCCAAAGTAATTCAGTGGGTTTCATGGCCAAGCAAGATTTTGAACCTGGTTTTCAGAGAGATCCCTAACCAGCATAATTAATAATGAAGTGAGTCGGGAGAGTTGTAAACCAACATTATCTGGAAAGCCACAAGTTGCTTGCTCCAATTTAAACAAATTCTAGACAATCCAACCACAAATTCTGATTTATTCTTTTTTTTTTTGCTTGCTTCACAGATTAGAGCAGATTTTAAACTGTAATCCTTGGTTCATACATAGTGACAAGCTAAGAACTGGGGACAATGAAAGTAAACACTTGTTATAAATCCTCTTCCTTTCTGCACAGGAGGCTAAGCTAACTGCTGTTTTTATTGCATTGCAAACAATTATGTTTTTATCTGTGTATATAGATTTGCTATGTATGAAAATGGGCAGGATACAAATGAAGTCAACAATAATAGTGATAGCGTAGATATAGAAATACTTAGCAGTTGAGGCATGCTGTCCAGCTGTCCCAGTTTGCAGGGATGATTCCAATAAATTGTAATCCTCCTTTTTTCAACTGATGTTAAAATGCCCCAGTTTCTCTCTTCTTCTTCCACTTTCCCTCTTTGCCCTTTACTTATTTCAATCGCTGCAAAAGGAATTCACAATGCAAAAATAGTCCCATGTTTCTCTCTCACCTAGATCACTAGTCCTCTCTCATGCTATCCTGATAGTCAGGCACAATATAACCCAGGAGTCTTCCCACCAATTGTCTATTCAGCTGGAGGAAAATACAAAAAATTGTCATTGGAGTACATTTTTCTAAGGACCATGAATCAGTTTTCTGCAAACCTGTTCTCTTTTTGTCAGATATGGGAACAAGTTATTACACTGTATCCTGTAGATTTTGATATAGAAATAAATATCAAAGAAAACTATGTGAGTTGCATTTCTGTACATTTATGGGGGTGAGACTAGTATTTAGTCCACTGAATTGGGGTTTTTTAGGGAGCCCAATTGGATATATTAAGGAGAAAGACATGACCTACTCCAGAAAGCATGTAGAATTTCATGCATTCTCCTTTGGATCCATGCTCATATGTATGTTCAGTCTTCATGACAGATTATGCATGAATGGTACAATTAATTTTCTATTTAGTTGCAGTAGAAACAGTTTTGTGGAGTCTGTTGCCATCTTGTGGCAAAAGGAGTTGCTTTTCTGCATTGTAGTACCAGAGGATTCCTCTAATCCTTTTTTCTAGCCTGTTGCCTTATATATGTTCTGGCTGGATATTTTGAAAGTTGCAGTTTGGGGCACCAGGGTGGAGTGGGCAACTCTAAAATCACATGTCCTATGACATCATATTTGCTCATGATAGTCACACTCATGATCTAGAACTAATGACAAGTGATTTCAAATTTTAACTGAATTTCACCCAGTTTTATCTGTAAAAAAACCTACAGTTTTTATTTAATTAAATATGTTGGTTCATATCAAACTTCCTAACCAGTTTCTGTTAAAAGTAGCAGTATGCTAAATTTAACCAAAAAATTACAAAGAAAAGTAAAGTATATTTTGCCAAGGACAAAAAAAAAAGAGAAACAAAGGATCAAAAAGCCAACCCTCTTTGAACAAATCTTGTTCAGAAAATACTGTGATAGATTTACTTTAGGGTTGCCACAAGTTGGAAATGACCGAATGCACACAGCAACAACAAAAGGACCAAATAATAATGAAAGGTTTTGACATAGTAGAAGTGCTGTTTAGGAAAAAAGGACATGAGATATATGTATTCTCTAGTTGTTGAAGGTCCCTTATCATTTTTATTGTTACTGAGTCAGACCACCCTTATATGAAGGATCCATTGTTGGTGTTATGATCCAAGTATCTGTATTATAGAATGCCAAAATGCTCTTAAGTGAAAACTTACCTGTGATTATGAGTAGGTGCATTCAAAATGTTGAGATTTTGGGCTTTTCTTCAGACAGTGGGTTTTCATTTCATCCCTCACAGAAATCTTTGTTTGATTAAGATACCATTAGCCAGTAGGCCTTAAACCAGAAAATATGGTATAATGCCTGCTTTAATTAAATCGGGATGTTAATTGCTTGAAGAGAAAAGGCATGAAGAAGGTGAAAGAAAAGGGCATGTAAATTCATAGCTTTTTCTCATCCACTCATTTGAAAGTATTTGAGGTCAATGGGGTTGAGGTAGAGGTGAATTCAGTTACTGTTGACTTGGGCTTAATAACTGGTTCTATGTCTAGGACATCCTTTTCTGAAGGAGATATAAACAAACAAACAATAATTTTATTACAGTCCATAGACCCATCAGTAATATCTCTGAAGGAGATATTCATTTTGTCCATTTTCAGTGCTTTCAAACATGATGAACAGGAAGGCAAAATATTCCACATGAAATGTTTTGACCATATTGTGTATTATGTAGCAACAGATGTAAGCATTCTACCAAATGTGTGTACTCAACAGAAACCTATAACCAATTCTAGAGCTCTCACAAATACAACCTGTACATAGAATTATTTTCAAATGTAGGGCTTCATTTCGGTGTACACCTTAACAAATCTTACATATATGTTTGTTTAAAGTGTGGCCTTGAGGTCAGGATTCCAGTACAGTTCCCTTATCCTCATGGGATACATTCCCAGACTTCATGCGGATACACAAAACTGTGGATACTAATGAAAACTGTTGAACTTTGTTTCTGGCCCCATAATACCACAGGGTCACACTGGAGGACCTAGAAAATACCCAGAGAAAACATAGTTTGCTGGACATGGATAAATGAAACTGTGGATGCCAATCTCATGGATAAGGGGTAGTTTAAATGGAAGTCAGTCTGGTCAGAAGTGGTAATGGAATACAATCCAATCTTCTTTCTTTTTGATGAGCTGCAAAAACATAAAACATGCCTTTACTTTCCATGCTAGGAATGTGAACATTGGCAAGGGACATTTGTAGGACGAGCCTGTGGACATCATGGTCCTTACGTCCCAGATGTTCTCTTCTGGTCAGTCATCTTATTCTTTTCTACAGTTACTCTGTCATCCACACTGAAGCAGTTCAAGACAAGCCGATATTTCCCAACCAAGGTAATGTGTCTTTTGAAAATGAAACAATTGCCACTTTGTTGCAATCACAGGCTGCAGTTCTGTCTCTATGGCTGTCAGTGACCAATAGATGCTATTAACATCAATCAGTTCCCATTTATAATGTTTTATGGTTCTTCCTTGTGTGTTTACTACCAGGTCTCAATGGCCAATTGATGCCATTAGCATCAATCAACTCCCATTTATAATGTTTTATGGCATTTCTTTATATGTTTACTACCAGTAATATGTTAATATAGGAGAATGGGGAGGAGAGCAAGTACTTTTCTTTTATTCTGCCTCCTTGTTGAAACTGGAAGAGGTGATCATTTAGAGCAAAACACATTAAGGAAAGTCATTGCAGTTCAATCTGAAATGTAAATATGACCAACAGACTGTAATAATCAGCTCCACAGAGAGACAGAGTTCAAACAGAGACACAAAATCAAACCCTTTACTTCACCAGAGCAGTTGGGTATGATGGTCATGCAGTACAGTGCAATTCATCTGGCTGAAACTGGAAAACAAAACATGTTTTCATACAGTTATTATTAAAGCTGTGCACTGAGTAATTACAAAGGTTAATTGTTGCAGCCATAATTCAGTTAAATTTTATTTTATTGGGGGGGGGGGCAGCAATATTCAAGCTCATTGGATATATGTGATCCACTAAGGGGCAAGTGGAGGAAAGTAGCACTTTGTTTCTTCCCTTTTCCAAAATGGAGCTCCACGAGATTTCTTGGGCTCTTTAGAGTTGGGAGAAATGGAGCGCAGAGGTGGGATGTAATATCCTCTTGTAATTCTAGAAAAATGATTTACAAGAAAAAAATCTCCTTGCAGTGGGAGAAAGTCTTTTTTATTGACTAGCAATTGCTGACACTGATGATCATCTCAATGTATCTTCAGGTGCGGTCTGTAGTGAGTGACTTTGCTGTCTTTCTTACCATCCTGTGCATGGTCTTAGTTGACTATGCCCTTGGAATTCCATCACCAAAACTTCAGGTTCCAAATGAATTCAAGGTAATCTCTTGAATTTTAATGTTCACTAAAATTAAAAAGTGCCACAGTGACTGTGTTATAAATGACTTGTAAGTATTTATTTCAGAAATGTAATAAAATATGAATTTGAATGTATCTCCAGTATAATTTTTTTCTTAAAATTTAGACTAAGTTTCAAAAAAATCAAATACATGATTAAGATAACATAACTTTGTCCAAAAGTTATTTTTTGCTCCATTACCAATTTTCCCCTCGTTAATTCCTTTTGCAATACTATCAGGATAATAATTGGGATGGGGAAGTTGTGGTCTTCAGGGAGGCTTTGACTTCAGATTGCATCCTGACATCCAGAATAACCGATGGGCAGAGGTCATGGAAACAAAATACCTAAACATTTAGAGAAGACCTACAGATTACCCACTCTGGCCATTCTTGATTACAAACATCTCTATGGCTCTTGTTATCTACAAGTATGATTAGGATTGCAGTTTTAGCTACCATTGGAGTGATTTGATGTTTGCACTGATGGCTTCTTTATGTTATCACTATACTATCCTTCTGATATGCACAATGCTGTGTAAGACGAATATGCAGTGTTTTTAGTTATTTGTGTGGTGTGTTGTATTTCTATTTGTATTCCTTTTCAAAAGTGGAGGAGGAATGTTTGTTGAGCTCTGATCCTGAAAGACCTCTGCATATGCTTCATAAAAATGCAGTCTCGTAGACCTTAATTTGCTCTTCTCCTCTTAGCCTACCAGAGATGACCGTGGCTGGTTCGTCACTCCTGTGGGCCCCAATCCTTGGTGGACAGTGCTGGCGGCTCTAATTCCAGCACTTCTTTGTACTATTTTAATATTTATGGACCAGCAGATTACAGCAGTTATCATAAATAGGAAAGAACATAAACTAAAGGTAAGATTATTTTGATCTTTCTAAGTATTATTCTAGAATCTCAATCTACATGCTTTGAAAAATACTCGTTATCTATGTAAAGGAATTACACATTTTACCCATTTTTTTGCTATTTGTATTTGTGTGTGGGAGGCTATTTCACACTACAGAATTATAGATCTATGATTCCACTTTAACTCTCGTGGTTCCATCCTAGAGAACTTGAAATCATCAGTTTTGATAGGAGCATTTAGGATTTTCAGTCAGAAAACTCCCACCTTGTTTTCTCAGGACTTTTAAGAATGCAACTGTGCACTTAAAGTGGAATACTATAACAGTGTAGTGTGAAAGAGGCCTTGGGTTCGGGCAGTTTGGTACATGCCAAGAAGCACTGACCTTTAAATAACAAGAATAGGGAAGCCTGTCTATGAACAAACCCCATGTACATATTGAAGCAAAGGAAATGGAAATGCAAAGGCAGTTGAAGAACTGAGTAAATACTCTGTGTCATATGAAAGCCATAACCAATGGGAATTGCACAGTGAGGAATACTTCTTCAAAGAGCCACCAGCTTTCCTAAATATATTGATGCTAACTGGACTTTCTCATTCATCATTTATGAAATGGTTGAACATTTTCCCTAGTCATAAAAGCTTTTCTACCTGGTTACCTGTAGATTATTTTGACATATCAAATAACCAAGAAGCTAATTTGTAATGGTGGTTGCAGTGTAGAATCTAGAGCTAGTGTTTGATCTGATACATAAAATGCATTGAATGCCCATGACGGCTCATGCCACTGTGAAAATGTTAAATCTTTTATTTGATGTTTGAAACCTGACTCACTCTTATCATGGAGAATGAAAAACTGTCATGTAATGCAGTTTGACCTGTATCATATGGGTCTATACTGACCATATATTAATAATAATAATAATAATAATAATAATAATAATACAATTCAAACTGCATTATTTAGCAGTGTAGATTCAGCTTGAGTCATACAATGGGAATAGTTGATTCCAGTAGAACTGGGAGTGAATGATTTTCCCCCCATTCTGCTGCAGCCCCCTCATGTGCTCCCCAAATCCTGGGAAACCCTCCAGAACTGGTTTTTGGATAGTATGAAAGCCTGGAATGGAAGGGACAGTATTTGTGGGTGGGGGTGGGGGGGGGTCTGTAGTAACTGCCAGCAGAAGATTGGATTTAGCTCAGTGTATTTTTCCATTCCGCAGATGGCAAAATAAAACAAGGTTCACCACATTTCTGACAAAATAAAAGGTCTGAATGGTTGCACCATTCTATTTTTAAACAATTGCTTCTCTGCAGTACAGTGCAACCACTTTATGAATGCAGTTTCTGCCTCCTATCATCACAAGCCACAGTTTCTTGAGGTCTCTCCATGTTTCTTTCCCCGTGTTTTTTCTTTCTGCCCTCTTTGTCCCTCAGGCTCCTTGTGTCAATCCGTGGTGTTGCATGTGGTTAACTTGACAGATGTAGGGAATCGCTGCCAAACTTCAGTGTGTGTGGTGTTTTGATTCCTGCCTTTTCTCTTCCTTTCAACCATGGCATGTGGGAGTCAGATGGTCTTCCTGGCTGCCCTCTTGCTTTACTGCCTATCCATATTCATTTGTATTTCATTTTGGTTTTTTTGCTGGGGTCTGATGGAGCATCGTCACCTGTTGACACACTTCATTTCCCTCCCATATGTCAGTTTCCTCAGGCTTCTGCCTGAGTGAGAGGCAAACTCACTATCACTTGCTGCTGAAATGGCATCTTTGCCCTTGTGAAACTTCTGTCCCTTTTGACTTTGGAAGACTGAGGAGACTTAAGTTGGAAAGAAGCACATAGGTTGCACATTTTCTTAGGAATATGAAACCTGGAAGGACCGTCTGCCTCAGATTCTTTACTTGTGATTTCTCATAACTTCCCCTCAGCTGTGACAGTGCAAATGAACAAGTGACTATAAAAGCTATTAAAATTGTCAGATCTTAGCTCCATATGATAGGAATCCATCCAGTGTTACACAAGCAAACTTTCATCCCTTCATACCTGGAAGTGTCTGGTGCTGGGCAGACATTATTCGATATACTGGATAGGTCTGAGTACAGCAGAGGTAGGAAATTTGTAGCTCTCAGATATTGTTTGACTCCAGTGCTTATTAGCCCCAACCAGCATAGCCAAGGATTATTAATTATTTTCCTAAAGCATCTGGAAGGCTACTGATTCCCATACTTGGAATATTCCTTTCTGGCTTTTGTCAATTTATGCAGTTTAGAACAGTTCAAACTGCATTATATGTGTCTACACTGACCACACAGGTCAAACTGCATTACATGGCCATGTAGATACAGCCTGAAAGTGATTTTTTTGCGTATTATTTTATTTTTTTGATATTTTATATACTACACTAGGAATTGAATCATGATAATGGGCTAGAATCCTGTTGAGAGCTTACATTATTGTAAGTTGACAACTATGGAAATCAGAACTAAGCAGTTGAGTAATACCCATCTTCAGTAAAGGGCTATTATTACATTACTACTCGAACCAGCAAAGTGCATAATACACATCAGTGCACAATGTAGTTTGTAATGTACATCATACTTTGATGTAGATTATGTACCAATATGCATTGCACTCTGGAGTGCATTGTGCTGCAATGCACATTATGTAATATGAGCATTGCATATCAATGTAAGGCATTGAAAAGATCATTATGTCAGGGCTAGGTAGAACTAATTGGGGGAAGCATGTGTCAGGGGCAGGGAACACTGTAGGGTGGTAAATCCAGGTTTAAGTCTGAGCTCTAATGGGCTTATCTAAAATGCTGAACTTTGTTCCCCAAATAGGTCCAGCACCTTGGAAATCACCTTTAAAAACTGGATACACGCTTAGAGTAGATTCACCCTTGCACTGATGTAAGAAGCATCCATTCACCCCTAGGAAGCAGCATCTGTTCCCTTGTTAGCTCCCTTGTTAGTGCCCCCCAGTGGCACAGTGGGTTAAACCCCTGTGCTGGCAGACTGAAGACCGATAGGTCGCAGGTTCAAATCCAGGGAGAGGCGGATGAGCTCCCTCTATCAGCTCCAGCTCCTAATGCGGGGACATGAGAGAAGCCTCCCACAAGGATGATAAAAACATCAATTCATCCGGGCGTCCCCTGGGCAACGTCCTTGCAGACGGCCAATTCTCTCACACCAGAAGTGACTTGCAGTTTCTCAAGTCGCTCCTGACATGACCAAAAAAAAAGCTCCCTTCAAACAACTCCCTTAATAATCTCTAAAATACAGAATGTTGATAAGACCTATGACCCAGCAAGCAGTATTCTCCCAGAAGAAGAGGGGAAAAATGATGTATTGAAAGTATAGGTTATGGCTTAAATGGCATAGATACCATTTTCAGAGAGAGCCTTCTCAGTGGCTGCCCCAAGACTTTGTAACTTTCTCCGACAAGGAGTCAAAATGGCCAGTTGCTTACTGTGCCTCCATCAACAGTTGAAGACTTTTTAATTATTTGGACCAGTTTTTAGAACTTAAGGCTTTAAAGAAAGGGTTGTATTTATAAACAGTGTAATTGATCATAGGAATACGGGATAACGGATGATGAGACTGGATTCTGATTTTACTGTTGAGGCGCTAATTATTGTTATACTGATGTTTAATTGTTTATGTTACAATTGTTTTAACTGCCCTATACTTGTCTTATGATGTTTTGTATTGATGTTGTTAACCGCTTTGAGTCGCCTGAGGGCTGAGAAGAGCGGTATATAAATAAAGTAAATAATAAATAAATAAATGAATTCGGAATTGTACTGTATAACTTATAATCTTTTCAGAAAGTAACATTGCTAATACTTTAATTTGGTTTAAGTGTTGACTTTTGTATATGTTTTAGCATAATCTTGAAAAATTGTTAGCCACCTCAATACCTAGTCTTGTAGGAAAGGCTGAAAAATAATAATACCACCACTACCAACACCAGAAGGAAGTGAGAGAGAAGAGGCAATGTAACTTGAAATGCAGCTTTTGCCTAGTAGTCCATGTGCTTCCCACTCAATCCTGTGCATTGTTACACTTAACTGTCCATTAGGGATGCCTCTGCTCAAATGCTTACCCAGTCCAAAGCCAAGAGTCACCTTGTCTCCTCATAATGTTTTCCCTCTCCGTGCCTCCTTTGTTCTTCTTACAGAAAGGCTGTGGCTATCACCTGGACTTGCTGATGGTGGCCCTCATGCTTGGCGTCTGCTCTCTCATGGGCCTGCCCTGGTTTGTAGCTGCCACTGTCCTCTCCATTTCTCACGTAAACAGCCTGAAGCTGGAGTCAGAATGTTCTGCTCCAGGAGAGCAGCCCAAATTCCTCGGCATACGCGAACAACGGGTTACTGGGCTCATGATATTTGTCCTCATGGGATCGTCTGTTTTTTTGACCAGGGTTCTTAAGGTAAGTCTATGGTTTAGAAACCAAAGGAATAGTCAGTGAGTCCATTTGGTTTATAGGATTTTAGTTGTGAGCATAAGTTCCTGTTTTGTCATGAGTACATTTTTCTTTCTTCTTACACAACTAAGGTTCTATTTTATTTCGACCAATGTAGATCATGTGGTTATTTTTTTTCTTTCTCAGGTCCCAGGGCAATCATCACATTTTAGTTAGTTACTTAGCTAAACAATCTCAGATAGCAAATCCTTTGCATAAGATCCTGAGTTACTCTTGCCCGTTTGAGCTTACAGTACTAGCCTGGAAGGTTAATAGTCTGACTTTTTAGAAGGCACTTCTATTCTTTCAGCAATAATAGACCAATTCAATCCTAGAAATGCAATAGACTGCATCCTCCTGCCAGATATAACCTGCTAGCATTTGAAGGGCTGAACAAGTCCTGCAGATGACCCATATACATTTACATGGCTTTTGTGCTCATGCCAATGGGTGATTTTATTTCCTTTGCCACATCCTTCTGCATTAAAGAAAAGGAGCCCAAAGGAGGGGGGAGTTGCATTACTCTAACCAATGTTAGCTACTTTCACACAGATTGGACTTGTGTTTTTCCAACCAGCATGGACACTGGTCAAGGATGGGGTAGCTTCAAGTACAGTGAAAGCACAGTTAAGTTTCCTGACATTTCCATTGAAGGAGGATATGCTTGTATCTTTCATAGGGTTTTCATGGGCAAGGAATACTCAGAAAAGGTTTTGTCATTTCCTTCCTAAAGCACCTAGTATTCATTGGTAGGGATCTATCCAAGTACTAAGCATGGTTGATGCTGCTTAGCTTCCATAATCAGACAGGATCTGGTACCTTTGGGAAACATTTGGTGTCTGTCAATCAATGACTGCATGTGGCATTGGCCCACACATATGTGGCCATATTGTTGTAGAGCCAGGATTTGAACAAACACTCTTAGGACAGCAGTATGCATTGGCCATGATAGTTTCTGAATTCGGTGAATTGCAATGAAATATGGTTGATGTCATGAGAGGCTTGAGGCTGAGCCAAGTTTAGCAGAGGGGCATAAATCCCACAGAGTTTGAGAAAATTGGGCAATTTATTGATTTTTTGTTTAAGGTGTATGCCATCTTTTCTTGATGTCAGATCCAAGATATTTTACAGCTTAAATTAAAATGAAGTATTGTTAAAATCAGATAATTTTATTTTTTTTAAAAAAAATCAGTAAGCTGCCATATTAAAACACTACCATTAAAAACATTATTAAGGCATTCAAAAATGAAAATAAAAGTAGCAAGCTATATTAATACATTCATACACCACCACTTCAGACTTACATGGATGAAATACAAAATGAAGAAATGATTACAGCCTATGTTATTTTCCTATATGCATCATATGCATTCCTGTTAGTCTCTATGTTATGCCAAATGTGTGTCTGCTACTATGTCTGCCCATGAACGAAGACCTAATTTGTTCTTTTTCCTCCCTTTCTTTGCAGTTTATTCCCATGCCTGTGCTTTATGGTGTATTTCTGTATATGGGTGCCTCCTCTCTAAAAGGAATTCAGGTAAAGTGGTTTGTGTGGAATATTTCTTCCTGATGGTTATTATGGCCTCTTTCACCTCATTGTTTCTTGCAACTCTACATTGTGAAGTTTTAAGAGAAAATTTACACAGGAATTTGAATTACAGAAGAGCAGGTTTCAGTATAATGCTATGGGTTACACTAGTCAGCACCAGAGATTTTGGTGGTTTTATTCTCAGTACAGGAGAAAACGAATATTTATCTGCAGCATTCTCCCCTAATTTGAACATCTTGAAGGGTTGGGAAAGAGTTATTCTGCACAGAAAAACACCTTTATACATAAAAACCTGTTTTCTGTAAAGAAAAAAAGTTGTACGTGTACACATAACCATCATAATAACTTGTGGTATGTTTTGCTGGAAAAATATATAATGTGTTTTGACATAAAATAATATTCCATGCCAGAACATAAAATAATAAATGAACTTCTTAGGGCACACTTTACTAAAATTTTGCCAATCAATCTTGTAAGATATTTTTAGCTTCATGGTTGGAATCATGTTGTTGGACTACAATGTTCAGCATTTCTCATCACTGTTTATAATTATTAGGTCTCCTAGGACTTGTAGGGCTAAGTGATTCCTACCCCTGTTTTATAGTATGATGTTTACCTTTTTTTTAAAATATAGGAATATCTTTAATTAGTTTAATAATTGAACTGAAACATAACTGCAGATCACATGTAAAGATGGATTAAATGCAGATCATCTTGTTTTCTCTCTTTATCCTTCTCTCAAAATTACTTTGTAGTCTGATGGTATCATCAAAACTGTTGCCTGGTTTAAAAACTTATTTGTACTGGAACAATGAAATCATGGATGTTTGTAGCTTTCTTAGAGATGTGACCCATTACAGCCATTGAGCATAGGCAGTCTTTGTCTTTTCAATACCATTTTGAGGTGCTGAGTATTTGTCCTTTTAAAACCAACAGTGGATATCACACAGTCCTGCATTGCATTTCCTATCACTCTTCACCTTTGGCTATCCTTCCCAGAGCCGATTGGACTTGCAATTCCACAACATTTGGAAAGCTGTATAATTCCCGTCTTGTATGGGCCAGGGGGGTGGGGGGGTCTGCAACCTACATACAGGTGGGATCCATGGAGACCATCTCTATGGTCTGCTGTAGATCCCCTGTCACCTCTGTGATCTAACCTCAGTACTCTGTCAGGTATGTTTCCTATCAAAACCAATTCCTCAGGTGAGCGGAGGCATGGAGATGGTTTTCCTTGCAAAGGTCTCAGTTTTCCATATAATCAAGCATACGGGGAAAGAGTATGCATTAGAAGAGTTATCACTGTGTGCTTTCTTCTGGTCGAAAGTGTGGTTTGCTGATGTGCCTACACAACTAGGGCACAGATATTGTGCTGCCAACCCCACATTTGACCATCAGTGTCATCAAGTTCACTGCATCCACTCTAGATCTGTGACTTTGTCCCCATATCAATGCTGCAAAAATGAGTGATATGCCTTCCCCCTTTGTTCAGCTTTTTGATAGAATCAAGTTATTCTGGATGCCTGCCAAACACCAACCAGACTTTATCTATCTGAGGCACGTCCCTCTCAGAAAAGTTCATCTCTTCACAGTAATCCAGCTGTCCTGCCTGGTTCTTCTGTGGGTTATCAAGGCTTCAAGAGCTGCCATTGTGTTCCCTATGATGGTATGGGTTTGCTTTCTCTATTTTATTTTATTTATTTATTTGAAACATTTATATTTCGCCCTTCTCACCCCGAAGGGGATTCAGGGTGGAGCACAACATATATACGGCAAGCATTCCATGCCAGAACATAAAATAATGATAAATATACCCAAACACTAGCTTCAAAGACTGCAGTTCTATTCATACTCAACACGAAATTGAGTGGATGGGTGGTTGGGAACCCTGCTATTAGATACTTTACATTAATGTAAGGCATAAATAAGACACGTGCAATCTCTCTTTTATGTTTTTTTTTTAAATAATAAGATTTTTAAGTTAAATGCCACAGAGAAAAAGATGTATAGGTTGAGCATCTCTTATACGAAATTCTGAAACCCAAAATGCTTCAAAATTCCAAATTGTCCACATGAGTGGTTGAGATACCAAAATGTTTGCTTTCTGATTATTAAAAAAACATTAAAAATGTGTGTGTACATTTACTTTTAGGCAATTTTTATACGCCGTTTATGCAACATAAATGCATTTTGTGTTTAGACTTGGCTCCCATTTCCAAGATGTCTCATTACGTATGTGCAAATATTCCAACAACTCTTGGTTTTACTGCTATTTTGCCTACAAGTATTATGAATTGTATGAGAACTTTCTCAGTACTAGACTCAAGTCACACTTGTTGTAATAGCCATGAAATCCAGATGTGATGTGCAGTTTAAGGATCCAGTTTGAATCCATTCCCTTTCTTACCCAGACATATCACCTTCCCCCTCTCTTACTCTATGTCTTCTATCGATCTATCTATCTATCTATCTATCTATCTATCTATCTATCTATCTATCTATCTATCTATCCATCTCTCCCTCCCTCCCTTTGGTAAACTGCCTTTATATTCAAAGTGCCCTACCATAATTTAAAATAGAAGTTAGCTAAAGGTTATATAAAACCAATTCACTATAGAATGAAATAGCTAAAAGCAGTCCAAAATACAGTCACGTTATTGTATTTATTCAGTTTACCTTCAGTGGCAGTACATGAATGGCATACATTTGTCAAAACATTTGCAGAAATAAGTCTGTGAGATTTGTAGATCTGATGACAATATTTAATGTATTATGCTTGTTCCATCTAGGTCTTGGCACTGGTGTTTGTCAGAAAACTCATGGACTTATTTTTCAGTAAACGGGAACTAAGCTGGCTTGATGATTTGATGCCAGAGAGCAAGAAGAAAAAACTTGAAGATGCTGAAAAAGAGGTAAGTTTCCTTCTTTCCCTTTGATGACCTGGGTTTTTTGGGGTTTTTTTGGTATAAAAACACTTTAGGTGTAATCTGAGATTGCCTCTTGAAATTGTACATCTGTGTAACAGATCTCAATGTTCATTTGACATGCACGCTCAATCCAGTGAGGGAGGTCTGTATCTTTTTAAGGGGTGGGAACAATGTTAAAAATAGTTTAAAATACATTTCTCGAGTGTTGAGAAACTCTGGTGAAAACAATCATGAAAGAAGAGAGCCTTTGTGGCTAGGTGTTTATTCTGTGAATTTTTTTTCTGTATCGGGAACAGTATTTTCTGTGCTGAAAATAATACACAGAAATATTGTCTGTACAGCTATTTCCTATGCAGAAGATCCTGTAGTTGGGAGCTTATTTTGTGCAAAATTTTGGACATTTTTTGTGTGTGCAGAAAACCACATGCTATGCAGTAAACAACATTTTTATGCTGAAATTATTTTTGCACACAAATATTTTTTGGGTATGAAATACTGTTTCTTTTGCAGAAAACCCTTCAAAAATATCCACATATTAAACCCCAGTCTGGGAAAAAATATTTTTGAAGTCACAGTGAGAAGCAACTTGCTGAAATTTCTTGATATTTCTTTTAGAACTGAATTAACAAGAAATTGCATCCCTAACTTTGGATGATTTTTTTCCAGATGAATGGGGTGTTGATCTCCATTTGGGGTAAAGAGGGTTGGATTTTAGACTATATTCCTATTGACTGATGTAATTGTGCCAATGTAAACACCCTAACCAACAGGGGTAAAATGACCACAGATTCCCTGGCAAAGGAGAGGATGGCATAGGAACCCATTATGTCCATAAATAGAGTTGTCTTGCTGGCTTAGTGTTGCCACTAAAATGTGCCTCATGCTTAAGTGATGGGCGTATCACTCTAGCATAAGACATGAAGGGACTGATTTCAGCCAGAAACTATTTAACCCATAAAAGACCCAGTTCTCCTTGGAGGCATGAAGATGCTATGATGTTGGTAACCTCTTGCACATAGAAAATGTTACTTTAGCACAGGGATTCTTAAACTTTTCCATTTCTATTTCCGTTTGGCATGATCCTGGTCATATGCAAATATACAACAATCTCTATAAAAATCAAACATTTTACTGATAACAAATCAGCATTTGCTAGGCTTCCTAAACAGACTGTTTTTTTTAAATGAAGTACAGCTGAAACATTTTCTGCAGAGTCCACTGCAAGCACTGCATGACAGATTCATGTAAATGCCTTTAGAAACCTTTTATGGTTGCCAGATTTTTCTGGGCCCCAACACTGAGCTAAAGGGGCCCACAGTTTAAAAAGTGGTGCTTTAGCAGACTCCAGATCCAGCATTTCCTAGCCAGAGAAGTTAATAACCACACAAACTGGTTTTCCAGGCTCTTTTCCAGGCTCTTTCATAGAGGTCACATATTAATTACCTGCTTTCTATTTTCCATCTACTTTTTCCCCAAGGAAATTGTTGCAGTTACCATGTCCATGCCGAGCTAGATATGACTCCCTTGCTGATGCATGCTCTCACAGTGCAAAGGCTTTTTCATCCTTTGTGACTGTCACAAAAATCCTTGGCTTTTTAGTCTGTTTTTCTTCTCATGCATAATTTATGTGTTCGTCCATTCTTTCTAGACCTGAATGTGACAGAAAACCAAACTAGAAATATACCTACTGTCCCATCTAATTTTATTTTTCATTTCTGTCTTTTTGAGAATTTTTTAGCATTGCTAAATATTTTATGATATTATTAAAGGGGCTCAGTTGTCAAAAATCTAGGAATCTATGAAGCCTGTAAATTATAAAAAATGAATTAAGAAGAAAATGGTTATACAGAATCCTTGGCATGTAATTGAAAAGATATGATTATTCTGGCCTTAAAAATAGAGAATGAATTCTCCATGCAAATAGAAGCAAAGGTGAGAAGATATTTTCAAAAAGCTGATTTGACTGGATTCAAATTCTCATTCTGTGGCATGCCTTCCAATATATATATAAAAACAATCCCAGCTATGATGAGCCCAAAACACCAAGTCAGGAAACAATACCTTTCTCATGCTTTTATCTTAATTTATATCGAACGCTGCTCTACCCACACCTTTTGACAACAGTGTTTATTTGGAAGTGGCAGCCATTCATGCATTACACTGGTCTAAAGGTGCACCCAGACTGATTAAAAAGATCAGATAGTCCCAGATTTTATTCCTATTCTTTCTGACTTTATTTTGTAGAGCCATATGCTCCTGTACGCTACTCTAGTGAGCAGTCTGACTACAAAAATAAATCCTTACCTCTTTTCTTTTATGAAGATAAGCTTCCTTTAAAGAATTACTCTTTAAAATTTGCTTTTGAATGCTAGATGCCTGCTACTTCACTAAAAAAGGAATGGCATGTTGTTTGTTTATATGTGTTTAGAAGCCTACAGTGAACAATTTGAGAACAGAGTAGTGAAAGAATGATGCCCTTGGGGTTTTTAAAATTTTGGTTTCTTTCCATTGTAGAAATAACTACAAACAAGAACAGGTTTGCTCACCTTTCTGTGCTTTTATCCTAGGAGGAGCAAAGTATGTTGGCATTGGAAGAGGAAGGCACAGTGCAGTTACCACTTGAGGGGACCTACAGGTAAAATATAGATTGACTCTGATATTTCAAAATTCAAATGACTGCCACACATGTCCTTGGTATGTCATGGCTTAAAAAGTGAGATATATTTGGGATTTGATAGTCTCGGACTATTCCAGCCAGTGCTCCCAGAAGATAATGTTTCTAAACTCTGGAGATCATTGATACAGTGTCATTGTGTTTCTATCTCCCAACTTTCCAAAACTAACTTTGCTACTTGAACTATTGATTGTACTGTATGAAGTCCAAGGGTTTCTCCTCTCATTACACAGAAAACGGTGTCTTCTACACACAAACAAGGTGTGTTCAATATGGTTTTTCTTACATGAAATAAAAGACGATTGCAAACCTTGGTCTTGACATCTTTGGATTTAATTCTTTCAATCCATGTTTGTCATCTATCTTAATTGGTTATATTTGTTGGTTTTCTTATTTTATTCTAGAGATGACCCATCTGTAATAAATATTTCTGATGAAATGTCAAAAACAACTGTGTGGAAGACAATGTTAATAACAGAGAATACCAAGGATAAGGAGTCCAGCTTTCCTTCTAAAAGGTTTTTAAACTTTCTTCTGCTTATATTACATTCTTTAATGAAAGCTGCCAGCAAAGCTTTTACTTTAGTAGGCAAAAGATGCCAATTCACTAGTTCAAGTTTAGTATCCAAGCACAGGTTATCAGAACCTTATAAATATGTCCAACCCATTCTGATTCAAACTTAATGGTATTAAAGCATAGCAGCCTCATTTTGTCAAAGGGAAATGTGAGTACAATTGTTTTTCTGACGAATGCATAGAGTCAGTTGTTGCATCAGTAGAATCTCTAGAAATGTCAGGCCTGTGAAAGTATCTTGTAAGCTCACATACATCAGTATTTTCTTCCATTGCAATGCTAGATCGGAAAATAGCAAGGGGAATTGTGGGCAGCATAGGAAAGCTATGCTGCACAATTCTGGAATAAAACCGAATGGTTGTGGTGTGCATTCCTATCTTGTTGCAAGGGTCCTTTTCGGAGTTTCTGCGTCTTTGACTTTCCTTTGTTTGTGGTGCTGTAAACGGGGAAACTGAAGCAGGCTGAAAACTCAAAGACATTGCTTTTTTAAAGGCGATCACAACTATCAAAATGCCTTAGCCATAATGACCACTGCTGACTGGTGCAATCTGGGAGCATCTAGACCAAACAATAATGTTTTCAAATTCTATATACATTTATTATCCATTGGTCCCCTCCATCCCCCAAAACTTTGTATACAGCAGCTGCCATAGTTTTGGGGAATTGTGCTTTTTTTAAAAAAAAAAAAACCCGTGCTATGTTCTCCACGTTGATCTGCTACTTCATTGTTTCTCAAATTCTGCTCCTCCAGCTGTTTTGGACTTCAGCTCCCAAAAATCCCAGCCAGCTTCCCAACTGTTAGGAATTGTGGAAGCCGAAGTCCAAAACATTTGAGAAGCACAATCTGAGAACTACTACTCTAGTTTATTTGAACTAACAAGAGTCATCATAGGAATTTGGATTAAGAATCAGTACAGTCTCTGAGTGACTGTTCATGCCCATCATTGGAAGCAACTGCAGTAGGTTGATGGGATACAAATACATCCTTATTTCCTTTTCCCTTCCAACCATCTCTAAAAAAACTACAGAAGGAGAACTGTATACTTCTCAGGCAATATCCTCCAGTCTGCTCTTTCTCCTTTCTTTATGTTCTGTTTACTTCTCGGGTTCCATCTACACTGACATATAATGTTATTTGCAACTGCATTATATGGTCAGTGTAGACTCATATAATGCAGTTCTAGGTTTTTGGACAAGGTTTACTCTTTTTAAGTTAATGTGTAGGCTACTTTAGAAATGCTTACTCTAGTTTGTTAGTATACAAAACCTTGCTACTAGTGATACCATAGGATTTGGACTGCCTGTACACATTTTTCTCAACACTCTCAAACAGCATTGCTTCATTCATCCTGGTAGATCTGGTAAATCAGTGCTGTTGTTGTGCCTTTCAAGATTCTGGGCAAGGCAGTGAAGCCCTAGTGTCTCAGAGTGAGGTAAGGCTTTAGTTATGCCTTCCTCTCCGTAGAAAATTATCTGCCATCTGTTCACTTCTGTATGGATGCTTAGCTCTAGTTCATCAAAGGACTTTACCTTGTTCTTCAACCAAGTATACCAGAATATCCTACAATGTTTTTTTTAAAAGTGGGTTGGATCTTACAGTCGAAATGACACAACACAAAATAAAGGGGAGCCCACAGAAAGGTTGGCATAAAGCTCTCCAGAGTTGGCTCCCCCAAGTAACTTGAGTCTGGATCATCAAAGATGACTGGGGAGAAAATGCTGAAGGTGCTGGCACTGCATTGTATACTGAGCAGAAGGAGGGACAGGATGCTAGGGATCTTACCTCTCCTATGACCAGGCTGCTGCATCATGTGAGGCCAAGTTGCATCTTATGTCAACTGTACAGGAAGACACCTACTTTTCTTGGCACATCTATAAGTACTTTCTTCCATCAAGCCTATATACAATTGTATTTAAGTGTTGTTTTCCCCCAGATGCCCTTCATTTTGAATTAACATGATTTACTACTTAATTGTTCTACTATTCACATTTTTACCCTAAGCTCCCCTTCCTAATCTCTCTCGAAGCTGATTCCCAAAGGTAAGACTCTCCTCCCAGATCTCTCCCTTGTTTGCTACTGATTGGTGTCTTTTGGAAAACCTAGCTGACTTAACTATGTATAAATTCTGGGGTGACAAAATGTACAAGAATTGCATGGAAAATGCATTGGGAGTATTGTTTGGTTATGTGTGCATTGGTTCTTCCATGATCAATAAACAGGCATGCTCATCTACCCAATGTTGTTATTCACTTGATATATAAATTATAATAATTTCTTTGAAATATCCAGTGCACTGAGAAAATGTGCAGGCTTTAGCCGTACTAATCTGAATTAAGTGTCCTAACTGAATAAAGGAACTTCTTGTCTCCTGACATTTTGTCCCCCCAAAATGGCATGTTGCTTTTGCAGTGTATTTCCTCTCCTCAAGCAGCATAAACAAGATGACCAGCTCAGGATCGAGAAACAGTCCCAGTTCTCACCTGCAGTTCAGGAGTGTGTGTTTGCATGTGGGTGTGATTAAATTGCTGTCCCAAGTGGAAAGGGTTTACAACTTCATCATAAAACTTGTACAAGTTGAGGATCTTTTATCCAGAATTTCAAATTACTGTCAGGCTATGTGTATAAATTATATATATGAAACATAAATTAATTGTGTGTTTCAACCTGGTCTCATCATCCCTATGATATCTCATTATGTCCCTATGTTCAAATCTGAACAAAATCCGAAGCTTTTGTGGTCCCAAGCACTTCAGATAAGGGATACTCAACCTGAACATGCAATTTATATCTACTGTATACAGGGCTCCATAGATTCTTGCTTAACAGTCATCCTGGTGTTGCTACACTTCCATGATAAATAGTAGAATCACTGTGTCCTATACCAACATTATAGGTTGACATCATAGTCTCTTGAATGGAAGATAGCATCTTCCAATACATGTTCAACCAAGTATTGCTAGACCTTTAGTTCCCTGCTATAGCTAGTATTGGATGGGGATGATGAAAACTGCATTCCTCGTCATCTAGCAGCCTCCATGTTGGGAAAGACTGAATCACGCAAACTGGTATTTGATGGAATTAGCTATTTATTTATTTTAATTATTTACCCTATTTATACCCCACCTTTCTCAACCCTTAAGGGGACTCAAGGAGGCTTTACATATAGGCAACTATTCCTGCAGGGCAAGTGGTTCATATAATTGTAAGCAAAAGGAGTAGCCCTGTGCTATTCCTTCTATTGAGCTATTTCAGTACTATTCCGCAACTTAATTCTTCAGCCCGAACAATGTTTCAAAGATCTGTTTGGAAGATTCCTGATAGTTTCCTTGTTCAGTAACCATTTGGTTCCTTAACATTTAAAAACAAATGGCTTCAATTGTGATCCTGATGCACAGAGTAATCACTGGTGGTGACACTTCAGACAGCGCAACAGGGTTTAAATGGCCATAGATGCCATTTTAAACACAATAAATTCTCTTTGTTGAGCAATGAAGCTGCCCTACTGACTCCTGGTGGCTTGGAAGCTTTCTGGGCAGTTTTCTCTGATGCTAAAGCTAACTCCTGTTCAGTTCCCCTATTGCTTCTTCACATAGCTCAAAAAAAGTTCTTTACAATGGACCAGCTAAGCAGCACAGTGGAGTAAATCTTGCAGAAGATCCCAGCCTTTGTGTTTAACATTTTGGAGGAGCACAGCATGGGCTTAGTAACATCAACAATAAAGATGGCTTCCTAGGTTGGGAGCAATGAAGATATGCAGCTGAACCTGAACCAAATACGTTGAGCAGAGGAGGAAGAATCACTGCTGAGAGCTCCATCTTCCCCTTTCAAATTGGGGAAGGGAGATGGTCTGTAAGAACCTTGAAAATATAACAGCAAATATGCTGCCTATTCATGTTATGTAAGCCTGTGCATTAAGAGTGCAGCAGCAGTTGGTGTAACCTTAACTATCTGAAAGTACCTGCAGGCTAGTGACAGATAAAAGCAAGGATGGTGGCTGGGCAACAGCATCCATTAGATGATGGCCTCACAGTTAGGTGGTGCATTAGAATGAAGGGAGATAACTGAGAAAGGCCAATTTTCGTTTCCATATTCCTTTGCTGCCTCTGGCAGAAAATTAAACAGAAGCTCTTTCCTGATGGTTGTTGTGGTTGCAAAATGATGGCAGTTACATGTGCTCTTAACAAAAGACTGAGAGAATTTTACAATATCACTGCACATTGATGGATTCTAAGTCCTTCGATAAGGTCCCCCATGACCTTCTGGCAAACAAACTAGTCCAATGTGGGCTAGGCAAAACTACAGTGAGGTGGATCAGTAATTGGTTAAAGGACGAACCCAGAGAGTGCTCACCAATGCTTCCTCTTCATCCTGGAAAGAAGTGAGGAGTGGAGTGCCGCAGGGTTCTGTCCTGGTCCTGGTCCTGTTCAACATCTTTATTAATGACTTAGATGAAGGGCTAGAAGGCAGGATCATCAAGTTTGCAGGACACCAAATTGGGAGGGATAGCCAATACTCCAGAGGACAGGAGCAGGATTCAAAACGATCTTGACAGATTAGAGAGATGGGCCAAAACTAACAAAAGTTCAACAGGGACAAATGCAAGATACTCCACTTTGGCAGGAAAAACGAAATGCAAAGATACAGAATGGGGGACAATGCCTGTCTCGAGAGCAGTACGTGTGAAAAAGATCTTGGAGTCCTCGTGGACAACAAGTTAAACATGAGCCAACAATGTGATGTGGCGGCAAAAAAAGCCAATGGGATTTTGGCCTGTATCAATAGGAGCATAGTGTCTAGATCTAGGGAAGTAATGCTACCCCTCTATTCCACTTTGGTTAGACCACACCTGGAATATTGTGTCCAATTCTGGGCACCACAATTCAAGAGAGATATTGACAAGCTGGAATGTGTCCAGAGGAGGGCGACTAAAATGATCAAGGGTCTGGAGAACAAGCCCTATGAGGAGCGGCTTAAGGAGCTGGGCATGTTTAGCCTGAAGAAGAGAAGGCTGAGAGGAGATAGGATAGCCATGTATAAATATGTGAGAGGAAGCCACAGGGAGGAGGGAGCAAGCTTGTTTTCTGCTTCCTTGGAGACTAGGACGCGAAACAATGGCTTCAAACTACAAGAAAGGAGATTCCATCTGAACATGAGGAAGAACTTCCTGACTGTGAGAGCCGTTCACGAGTGGAACTCTCTGCCCCGGAGTATGGTGGAGGCTTCTTCTTTGGAAGCTTTTAAACAGAGGCTGGATGGCCATCTGTAGGGGGTGCTTTGAATGCAATTTCCCTGCTTCTTAGCAGGAGCTTGGACTGAATGGCCGCAAGGTCTCTTCCAAATCTGTAATTATATCCATAAAAAATGGGATAGATTTATTATTTATTAGGAGCATTTCTATCCCATGTTTCTCTACCTCTGAAGAGGGACTCAGGACGACTACCAACAGGCACTATTCGGTGCTGCACAATAAATAACATAGCGTAAATTACAGTTAGCATGCATGAAAACTATTATAAATATATATTAAAAACAATCAGCTAAAAAACATAATCTTACCAATAAAATAGAACATTCTGCAAACACTTGATCCCACAATCAGATTTGAGCTTCTTCTGGAAGGTCACGAGGAAGGGGACAGATCTGATCTCATGAGGAAGGGACTTCCACAGCTGAGGGGCCACCACTGAGAAAGCCCTGTCTTTCGTTCCCACCAACCACAACTGCGATGGCGGTGGGACCGAGAGCAGGGCCTCTCCAGGCGATCTTAAGGTCCTTAGAGGTTCATAGAGGGAGGTACGTTTGGACAGGTAAACTGGGCTGGAACCATTTAGGGTTTTATAGGTCAATCCAAATTCAATGTAATTAATATGTAATCCAGATTAAAAGACAAATAAGGAGGAGAGTGCAGGGGGGATAAGAGCCTTGGTGTCCACCATTAACCACTGCTTGATTTTCATCAGGAGGGGAACCAGGTCTCTCTTGCACACAAACATATGTAAAAGGGAGAGGAAAGGAGCTCCCTCACCCACAATGTTTTACCATGAACTTGTGTGACAAAGGCAGGAATTGACTAAGCCTGTGAGTTGACTAATGCTTTTGATAGCTAGGGGAGAAGGTACATAACCACTTGACTGTTCAGCTTCTTGTTTGTGCAACTGAAAATGCCAGCATTAAACTATGTGACCAGTTGTTGTTTGTAAAGCAAATGGTTACCATTTAAACCTTTGCAGTGATATTTTTTTTGCTTGCATGCTTGCGGATTTATATCAATTAATTTCTCATTTCATTGTAATTCAAAAATGATGTTCTTTGCCTTCCTCTTTACTGTTGAGTCAACTGATGTTTTTCATAACTGCATTACATTCATGCGTACTATCCAACAGTGGCATTTCTGCTCTGCAGCATGAAAAGCTGAGGCAAATGATGTTGTGTGGCAAATGGCTCCCCCTCCTTGAAAACAAAAACAAAACTGTATGGGTTTGGCTTGGCAGTTTTAAGACTTCTTTCTTTTTCTTCTTCTTTTCTCTCTCCCATAGCACTGAAGGCCGAAAAGAGAAGAAAGGTGACTCAGGGAAAGGTGTGGACCGCGAGACTTGTCTATGACATGCTCTACAGTTTGTTTTGTTTTTTATATAAGCGAATGCGAGGAGTGCCACAAACGTAACTGTACCCAGTATGATCAATTCATTGTGCGTACAACCTGTCCTTCCTCCCACAGTAGCACTGGTAATGTAAGTAGTGCAATATGTGTTTCAGTTCACTGTCTTGTTTATCCACTGGCCATACTCCATGCCAGAATCGACCATCGCCAGTGAAGGGATCCTGCGCTTTCCTTGCTGGGGTGCAAGACCCTTTGAACTTGTGTCCGTTCAAGAAATGAGCAATGTGTCTGTTCAAACTTCTCTTGCAGTAGGTTTGGACTGTACTTTTCCTACTTTGCCTGTGCAACGTATGGTCCTAGCTTTCTCCATCTCCGAAAGCAAACTTGAAATAGCACCCCATTCTTTTTTCTAGTGTAGCTTTCAGCCAGCTATTTCAAGAGACCCAAAGTAACAATGAACTGCTAGTTTTAGAGCTATTTTTGAAACAAGGAGCATCTCAATCCTGCAAAGCATAAGAGTAACTCCCACCCCTCATCATTAAAATCATGGCTTTTATGTATGTACGTATGTATGGAAGGATGTGTGTATGGAAGTATGTGTGTGAGACTAATTGGATCAGACCCTATATTTGTGCAATTTTCCTTGATTTCATACTGGATATTTAATATTTAAATTTATATGTAACTGGAAAAAAATAAAGTAATATAATATATAAAGATATGTAGGCTATAGTAAAACATTCTCTCATCTTGTTTGGAAGAAAAGCCACATCCGCCGATGTGCAATATTCATACAATATTTGTTGTGAAAGCAAGCTGTTATTGCAATATCTTGTACTGTACTTAATGTTGCAGTGGTGAGTTTTAACAGCTGCATTGTGGTGGTAAAACAATCCACATTTTTCTAGCTTTCCAGCTTCAAGTCCTTTACAGGCAAGTGCAGTAAGGCTACTTTCCTTCCTCCCAGGGCTGATCCGTGAGCCCACGGATGCTTCAAACCTTTGAATACTCTCCTTACATTCCTTTATGATGTTCTGCACTTATCTGGTTATGGATAGGTACTGATTTGATCCAGGTATAAATTCTATGTCTATTTTTGCTAGAGTGCTTATTTCATTATTTTATCAGATGTTTGCTATTTTTTTACAAAATGCATTGTATGCATTTGCAATTGGTCAATAAACTCTGGATACCATCTGGCCAAAGTTAAGCAGTTTGAGACACAATGGATTTTGGAGGAAGTCATTTGGGCATGTGCTTATCTCCGATATCCATGGGACCAAAATAGGTTTTAGATCATGCCTTGATTGTATTCCCCAATGGAGCTTGAAATCACAATTTCACCAAAATGAATGGGAATTGTGAAACAAATTTCAGTAGGCCAAGGTATTACCATAATGCTCCAGTTTTGCAGACCTTTTTTGGCAGTTGAATTGGAATTTTAGTGTGAAAGGCAAGCATTTCCACAGAGGTTTGAATTTAGACTTTTTTGTATATGCCATATAGACTGTGTTGTCTTGCTAAGAGTTTTAACAGTAGCTAAACTATGGTTTTTAATATCAGAACATAGTGGACTCTGCTCCAGAAAGGACTTTCCCTCTATTTGTTTTCCTACAGGCAACAGAGAAAGTTTTTGAGGAAATTTATTAGAACTCTTTTTCTCTCCTTCCATTATTCAAATTTGACAGAAATTAGGCGGAAAGCACCAACCACCACCTATCGTGAAAGGGTTGTATACCAACCGTCACCTATAGTGAAAGGGTTGTATACCAGCCACCACCTATAGTGAAAGGGTTGTACTTTGCTGGGTAGATCTAGCCATAGTGTTTCGTTTCAAGTAACGAAGATGTGCAGAATATGACGGAATTTGTATGGAAGGGAACAAAATAGCTGGATCTTCACAAAAGTTGACAATTGGCCATCCCTTGGAAGGTAGCAGTCTAGTGCTTTGTTGTGCACACTTTTGGGGAGGAGGGGTTGTATTTAAAATAAGAGACAGTACTGAATATTTTAAAATTTGCTTTATGTTTTTTAATTGTTTTGGGGAAAAATGTTTATTAGTTTTTGTTTTGTCGTTTTTCTTTTAAAATCAGATTTTGGAACAGCATTTAGAATAGCAAGGAACTGATATTGTTTCAGTGTCCAAGGCTTTGACCCCAGCTTGTGATTTTCAGATTTCCTCAGCTTAGTGGAATAACCCTTAGCCAGTTTCACAGCACTCATAGCAAATAGGGTAACTTTATTGACCAAGATGGCTGGGGCTTCTGAGAACTGAAGTCCAAGACATTTGGAGAGCCAAAGTTTGTGGGGTTCTGTGCGAGATCAGTGGGGTATGGTCACCTCTCTATTCATAATAAAGGCAGTAGAGGTACTGGCTCTTCTCCATTGAAATCAGTGGTGCACATCAGATTTGAAGCAGAGCTGTTCTATCCTTTATAACGTTGGCACATCCAAGCATTTGGTATGTGTAGACATGCAGGGATTTTGCAGGGGGGGAAAGGCCATTCATTCCCTACAGACCTTGCACATAAACCTCCTTTAACAATGATTTCTAACCTTTGGTCCTCTAGCTATTTCTTTTAACTTGGAAACTCTTCAAGCACATCTGATCCAAGGTGGACCCATGGGATGCTTCAGTTACTTTTGGTCTCTTACTTGCTCATCTTCAGACTGTCGATATCTGGACCTCCTGATAGTTGGCAAGCAAGAGACCAAAGCACCCAGTGATTACAGCTAACGTGGACGTAGTCACCAAAAAAATCCCAGGTGCCATCAGCCATGTTGCAGCTCTAATAGGCCCAGATTAGCTCCGTATTCTATATGCCTTCTTACTCTAAACATAACATCCCACCAAGTGTTCTTGTGCCAAAAGTAGACTAAAACAAGTGGTGGTGATGAAAAGCAAGTGCTTCTCGGGTTCCATTTTGGTCCACAGAAGTTTCTCTTAGAACATTCTTGGTATCGTCCATATTTTTCAAATATGATTCAACTAATGTATTTATTAAAAGATATAAAATGCAGAATATAAATGTATGTATAAGTTTAGATTACAATGCCACTCATTTAACACTGAAAGTTTTGTTACTGTGTACTTGAAGATCTATTGTAACATTCCAGTTGTTTGAAGGCAGCCATAGCGTAACAATGCAGGGCATATTTGGGCCTGGAAAGGGATTGCTGTTGTATGAAATATGTTGCTGATGTTCTATATCAAAACAAACAAAAAAATTAAAAAATCTTGCTTATCTAGCTTTCTGGATCTTATGAAATCAATGTATTGAATGGCACCCTGCATTATTTCTGTTCAATATGTTTGAGTTGTTTTAAAGATAATGCTGTTTTCTCTTTGAATTCCAATGCTACTCCAGTGTTAATCTCAAGATTTTGAAATCACCAAAAAGAGAGCATAAACTGCAAATAACTAGCATTATATTTACTTTTAATTTCTTATTTCTTCGTCACAAATTGCTGAATTTCTAGGATGTAATTTATTACAAAGGTTTAAATAAAGTGTACATGTGAATAGAATACTGTGTTTTTCACATCTTTAAGAGATGTTAAGTGGAAATAAAATATTTATCCTAACTGTTCTTCATGTTTATACTATTTACACCACCTCTGGCCTGGTTTGTCTATTCTGCAAGTAGAGTTTAGTTTATCTGATCTTGTGTCATCAGGCCATGAGTGTGTTAGTCCTGTTGTTAAGCTCAGTTCAGCAGCCAACTCAAGCAGGTGAATACAGATGTCATGATAGGGCAGGTATATTGATGAGTATTTAATTTGTTTTTGACTGAAACCATGTTGGTTAGTCCCAGTTAGAGTAGACTAACTGAAACAATTGTTGAGTAATAAATCAACATCTAGGTTAAACCAGCCTACTTTAAGATACCGTATATACTTGAGTATAAGCCACCCTGAATATAAGCCGAGGCATCTAATTTTACCACAAAAAACTGGGAAAACGTAGTGACTTGAGTATAAGCCAAGGGTGGCAAATGCGGCAGCTACTGATAAATTTCAAAATAAAAATAGATACCAATAAAATTATGTTAATTGAAGCATCAGTAGGTTAAATGTTTTTGAATATTTACATAAAACTGTAATTTAAGATAAGGCATCCTACTCTGATTAAATCATTATTCTAATCTTCTTCAATGTAAATGTGCTTACATATCCTTCCAATAATAATAAAGTAAAATAATAGAAATGTAATAATAGAATAAAATAACACATGTAATAATAATAGAGAAAAATAACAAATGCATTAATAATAGAGAAAAATGATACATGTAATAATAATAGAGTAAAATAATAAATGTAATAGTAGTAATAAATAGAGTAAAATAATAAATGTAATAACAATACATAGAGAAAAATAATAAAGTTAATAATAGGGCAAAACAATAAATATAATAAAATAATAATAACAGAGTAAAACAATAAATAACCTTAACTTGAGTAGAAGCTGACTCAAGGGGGACTTTTTCAGCCAAAAACTGGGGGGGGGGGGGTTGCTGAAAAACTCAGTTTATACTCAAGTATAACACGGTAAGTAGATTTTTAGAAAACAAACCACATAAGACACAAATTCTGGTACCACAAATACAGCTTTATTACAATTTGTTTTAAACAGTGACATTTTCAGGACATCATAATTTGCTAATCACATAGACATTGCCCTTTGAATACAATGGAATTTAGATTCAAAGCCTGTGGTGGCAAAGTGCTGGGAATGTACAAAGCTAAGCAAAGGGAAAGGGGGCCCAAATCTCAAGATTTCGATTAGTATATTATAAGGCACATTGGTAACGAAGTAGTATAACATTTCATAATTGGGTACTTCAATACACATTTTAACTGCATAAATAGAAAAGCGAGACACCATAAACTCCTGAGCTATATCAATATAACTCACAAGAGTCGCAGGTGTCACATTCTTTGATTGCTTTCTCTTTGTGATGCACCAGCAGAATGCATATGTTGTACAAAAAAGAGAAAAACAGGGTGTTTATTTAAAGCAAAATATGAGCTTTGACTCATACTCAAGTTAATCCATGTTCCAGGTTTGTTTTACTGCTTAGAAAAGAGAGCAATCTGCAAAGAGTGGCCAAAATTCTGTTTGCACGAGTGCAAGTTCTTTAATGGCAATGGTGGAAGGAAGCATCCACAAGGCCAGCCAAAGGCTCCCAGGGCCAGCCCTATCCACTCCCTGCTTGCCACAAGAACCATCATCCAGTAGTCCTTGCACATGTGGAACTGAAAAAAGGAATTTTTACTTTTGTCTAATGGGATGCATGTGATAAGTGCTACTTTTCCTCCCCCAAATTTGCTGGAGGGCTCTTGGACACACAACCCATCAATGGCTGGTGGGCCTCCCCTAACTATAGGGAAATGCTAGTTCCAAATAATTCAATTTTAAGAAAAGACTAAAAGATTTTATTTAGCATAAGGTTTCTGGAATTGCAGCCCTCTTCAAGTTTCAGATTCACAAGAGGCCTAAGATACACAAAGTATTCATGGTTCCATTTTAGTGGTTTGTTCCTTTGTAAAAACAATGGTCAGAGCCCAAGTGCAAGGTTCACATTAAATATCTGTTCTCAGTTCTCAAAGTGTTCTGCCATCACCAAGCTCTGGATCTGGCTTCATTCACTAGTGAAGACATGGGCAAAAACACATAAATTATTCCACTGATCTGACTGCAGGATACCAAGTACGTAATTTCAACCTGGATATATAGCATTATTTTCTTTCTATAATGAATGGTAGTTCATACACAGAAACCATCATATGCTAGTAAAGGTAAAGATTTCCCCTTGACATTAAGTCTAGATGTGCCTGACTCTAGGGGGTGGCGCTCATCTCCATTTCTAAGTTGAAGAGCCGGCATTGTCTGTAGACATGTGGCCAGCATGACTGCATAGAGCGGCATTATCTTCCCATAGAAGTGGTGCCTATTAATCTCACATTTACGTGTTTTCGAACTGCTAGGTTTGCAGAAGCCAAGCCTAACAGCGGGAGCTAACCCCACTCCCCAGATTCGAAACGCCGACCTTTCGGTCAGCAAGTTAAGCAGCTCAACGGTTTAACCTGCTACATCACCAAGGGGCCTCTATCAGATGCTACTCATTCTAAGATATATTTTATACCTTTTCTACGATTGTTTTTTACAAGTGTTGCCAACTTTTATAAAGAAGTATAGACTAGTCTACTGGGTTTTTTAAAAAAATTATGGGTCCCAACCAAAAATGGGGTCTTCTTCCCTCAATGTGGCGGGTCACAGAAATTTAGCAACAGAAAAGGTTGTCTGAATGCCACCCATTTACACAATTCTGTTAGCAACCATGTGAAGCATTGACGGTTGACTTTGCAGAAAATGTTTAGCTGTAATCCCCAAAATGAAAAATCAACCTGTTTAACAAGTCTTGCAAATACTCATTTATTATGTACAAATGTTTATTTTTTATTCCTATTTTATATACTTGTATACCTGAGGTCATGTCAAAAATTCTCGGGTGAAAGGGGTTGTGAGTGGGGAAAGTGTAAGAAGCACTGCCCTAGAAATTGATGTTGCTGCTAGATTTTTAGGAAATTTTACAGCATATAATTTTAGAATTCCCATCTTTAAATTTTAAAACATGAAGAGCAACTTACTGGGAGGAGTGAGAAAAAGGAAAGGCCAAACAGCAGTGCTCCCATCATCCAACTTCCCTTTGTCCCAGTGGTTTATTAATTTATTTGTTTTTAATTGTGATTTTAATTATATACTTCCCCTTTTCCCAGTGATTTTTCATTTTTTAATTACAAGTAACATTAATTACAGGTCTCCCAGATCACATCTTGCTCTGTCCTTACATGAGAGAGGATGACATTTGCCAATTTTGATTGTCATGCACAAGCCTCTCTTGGAGGGCTACAGCAGAAGGTATTTTAAGCAGGTATTTTCACTCTCAACCTCTCCCATGTAAAAGCTGAATCCTATCTGCTTAAATTATCACATTTATGCTAAAATTTTACTCTGCATGTAAATGAAGCTGCACTTCGAGTACTTCCCCCTAACTTGTAACAAAGAACATGTAAGCTCAAGTCACATTTTGTTTCAGAACAGCAACATTTACATATTGGCAAAATAAAATGGAATAAATAGGAATGCTGCAATCCTATAGTTCACACACACATGACTGCTTTATTGTCTTGTCCAGAAGGAAAATTACTGGTCAACGCCGTCTATAACAAAGGTGCAAATTACTTTTCCATAGAGAAGACAATGGAGTTGGTCTTCCATGCATGAGAAAGTACTGCAGATCTTTGGTTTTGTGTTCCCTGGATACAAGGGTTGCAAAAAGAACAAAAATACGAATTTTCTTCATTCAAGTATTTTTAGCAATCAATGATACTGTCTCAGCTGAATGAAGCATGAGACCATTAACTAGGATAGTGTTCATAATTTGCTTGAGATGCAAAAGGTGTTATGATAATGCAAAACACTGCTTGATAAAATGGCTCATATGGGTGTAGATATGATTGTGAGCATGACCTCCAATCCCATGATCTTTGTCCGTATACCACTGGAGAAGAAGAAGAAGAAAAAGAAATTAAGGCGTCACAAGCAGCGTATGTAATGGCAGTTACAAAAGAATAACACTGTAAGTACAATCAGGGATTTAAAATATTTTTTCAAGCCATTGAAATATATTATTGTTATATTTTAATAATGTATTATATAATAATAATAATAATAATAATAATAGTAATAGTAATAACTGTGTTAAAAAACAAAGTATGGATTGTCAATGTTGCAATTCCAGGTGACAACAGGATTGAAGAGAAACAACTGGAAAAGCTGACACGATATAAGGATTTAAAGATCGAACTGCAAAGGCTCTGGCACAAGCCAGTCAAGGTGGTCCCAGTGGTGATCGGCACACTGGGTGCAGTGCCTAAAGACCTTGGCCTGCACTTAAACACAATTGGCGCTGACAAAATTACCATCTGCCAGCTGCAGGTCACCTTACTGGTATCTGCACGCATTATTCACCGATACGTCACACAGTCCTAGACACTTGGGAAGTGTCCAACGTGTGATCCAATACAACGGCCAGCAGAGTGATCTTGTTTGCTGTGGACTCATCTTGTTGTGTTTCAAATAATAATAATAATAACTACTACTAATACTAATACTATTACTTTATTTTTGTACCCCGTATTCCTCTCCCCGAAGGGACTTGGGGCAGCTTTCATATGACACAAGGTGCCAAAAAAAACAACTCATAAAATAAACACACAGTACAATGCAAAAAAGTAAAACCAACAGCACATAAAGCAACAATTTAAAACTCAGAACAGTGCCCAATAACCTATGGTGACAACTGCCATAAGACATGGCTGAACTCTAAACAAGACAAGGGAATGGGATAGTGCAAATTGTAGGTAAGGAACAAGGGCATGGGATGAAAGTGTAGTGCATGTGTCATTAATTATGGGGTGTTTTGATCCCTTCCTTAACTGCCATGTAAATGAAGCTGCACTTGCTATGCACGATGCTATGGGGAAAGTTTCCTGTCTAGCTAACAGGATTATAATAAGGATAGAGGGTGGGATGAGATGTATGTGCAGCAGCATTTTCAGTTCACAGGAGAATATACAGTACATCAATGTGACTACTAAATAAATAGTTCTCCGGCATCCTTTTTTCCTGGGCTAGATTGTATATCATAAACGTAAGGCTAACTATTTTCATCCACTTGTGACTTTAATGTTTAGATTAGGGGAAAGGTCATAGTTCAGCAGCAGAGCCACCTGATTTACATGGCCAAAGGCTCATTTTTTCCTCTGCCAAGGGCTAAAGTACAGGTTTCCTGCACATAAACAACTGCAGGTACTGAGACTGAATATAATTCCTTAGTTCCTTGATCAAACTTTCTTGTTGGGAGAAATCATATGCAGAAACATCTGCTGTTCCCATATTTTTCATCTTCTCCTGGCTGAGGAAGGTGATTTATTACATAGATGTTTCTTAGAGACAGTTTTATTCTCTCATGTCTATTCCTTCATTCAGAATGAAAATGGCATCACAAGCAAATTGCATATGGACACTTAACACATACCATTGCTTGGAAATCCACCTCTGCATCAACCAGTGCTTTTGAGATCTGGGCCCCTTGCTGGAAGTGAACATTATCTGGAAATATAAAAGAAACAGAAAAATGCCACTCATTTAATGCATATTATCATCTGGGTAAGGTGAAAAATCTGCTAGGGGTGAGATGGTGGGATGGCGAGAGGAGAGAAAACTGAACATCTGAGCCAGGAAGCCACTGTTCAACACCTTTGTTGACGTTGTATGGATTTGACTAATTTCTGACAAGAAGTTTTTTTGGCATGATTTCTTCAGAGGAAGTTTGCCTTTGCCTTGCTTTGAAGCCGAGAGTGTGTGACTTGCTCAAGGCCACTCAGTAGGTTTTCATGGCTGATCAGGGATTTAATCCTGGTCTCCCAGAGTACTAGTCCCAAACTCCACACTGATTCAGCCCACTTTAAAAGCTAACAAAGATGCAGCAATGAGCAATGTTGTGCTCAGTGGTGTGTCATTGTTTCCCTTTTGTGCTTCCCCTTTGCCAGTAGCAGAGTGATTACCTTATATTACATACGATGTCTAGTTAGGAGTGCCTTACCATCTGCTGTTCCATGGATGAGGAGATATTCAACTTCTCGGAAATATTGTGCTTTAGCCATGACTGTAGAATTCTATTTTTTTAAGAATGTAAAAAAACAAAAACAAAAACCAACAACAATAATTAGTTCCGGTTCTAGTCTGGAATATTAGTGAATATTAGCCAGTATATACAAAAAAAATATGAAAGGATCTACCATGAAAGAGGCTAGTTTAGAACTATTCTTCCTATACTATAGTAAAGGTAAAGGTTTTCCCTTGACTAGTCTAGTCGTTCCCGACTCTGGGGGTTGGCGCACATCTCCATTTCTATGCTGAAGAGTCAGCAATTTAGTTCAGAAGACCCAGGTGCAATGTTTATTGTAATTCTAATGACCTGTATCTATCTGAAGAAACATGCATTCTCCAGAAGCATTTTGCAGCAGCAATCTTCAATTAAAGTATCTTGCAGAAATAGCTCTTTTGATAGCAGTATTTCCTATTACCCTTTGATCAACCTAAGCAGAATGGCTGCTGAAAGGCTTAGACAGAAATAACCTATGCTGCCTTCAAATATAGTCATCTCATTATTTCCCCACACTGGTCTTTTTGCCTTCTCTGTCTTTTGTATAGACAGGGAAACTTTGTTCATCTGAATATCTTGAAAATTATTGATTTTTTTTGGTATGGAACCAAATGGCTGGATACATACTACTACTATTAAACCTATTGAAATATCATAAAATCTGGACATAGGTACCAGCAAAACTACCCCATTGTATTAAAAGGGAATGTATGTAGATGTCACTATTTCAATACTTTGCCAAAGTTTTCCCAGTTCCACACATCCGAAATTAACACAGTTTCCTCCAACCTTTGTCCTTCCTTTGGTCAACAGAACTATCTGAACAGTACCACAATATCCATAATATAGAATCATAGAATTGGGAGGGATCCCAAAGGCCATCTAATCCAAATCCCTGCCATACAGGAACACAGGATCGAAGCACAGCAACAGATGGCTATCGAGCCTCTGCTTGTGGGTCAGTCACTTGAATGTTCCTTAGGCAATTTCAAAAAAAGAAAATATTCCAAAGTAACCATATTGCCATATATACCCTATATACTTATGAATAAGTCTAGAAATTGTAGTCAAAAACTTAACTCCAAAAACCTGGGTCAACTTATCAATGTGCATATGATACAAAAAAGGAACCATCCTCTTCTCTGAATTGAGTGTCTATTAGTCTATCCTGGGAAAACCTAAATGAAACACTGAGCCCATCTATACACCTTTTGAGCTTTGATGCAGCTTCTGGCCTTTTTTAATACCTGGGTGGAGAAAGGGGAACAAGAGTGGTTGGTTGGCCCTATGAGGAAGCATTGTTGTTTTTTTCTCCTTACTGCAGAATGACCCTCATTTTATCCACAGATTATATTAAGTTCCATAATTTTGATTCAAAATATGCTCTCAACTTATATATGAGGTCAAATTTATGAGCATATAAGGTGCGTTAATTTTCAGAATTAGACATTTCATAATAAGAGTAAAATACAAAATGGGGCCAGAAGCAAACACTTAAATGCCTTTGGCACATTCTCTCCATGTCTTCTGATGTTATTCTGATCAGCCTCAAAAACCCAAGTGTTTCAAATCAGTTGGTTGAGTACATGCTAGGAACAGAAGTCCTTTGTGGAGTCCTATGTTCAGCTTCTGAAGTTGGTGTATGTGTGCAGGTCCATATTTCCTCTTGGTAGCAAGAAGACCTGGGCAAATTTTGAACTGTATTTTCCTAGATTTTTAGATCCCCTGGTACTCTTCTTCCAGATTCACCAATGCAGACTAGTAAATATTAACATAGCTTTGTGTGCAGTGTGCTGTATTCTAGAACATCTCAGGGCCCTTTCAGACAGGGCCCAAAATACAGTCCCTGTCAGACTTTTGCCTGAGGCGTTCAAATGATGACTCGGGTAAGATTAAATTAAATTAACTGCACGCAAAGCTATGTTTTGTCCTAAATTAATTAGATACCCCATTAGACCAGTGTCTTCCTGAAAGGCAATGCTGTATTTGGGTCTTTGAGAACTGACTACCAGATAGTCCTGGGACTACATGGGTGCCAGTTCCCACACCCATCTCGCTTCTTCAGGCTTCCAAAAGCCCGAAGAAGCGAGGCGGATGCCCCCTTCCCAAAGCCCCCCCCCAAGCCATTAAAATAAAAACTTACCTGGCCACCTTTAGGCCTCTCAAAATGATGTGCCAGGAGGCGGGGGAGAGAGAAAATCACTCCTGCACCTCCACCTCCTGGCAGGTCATTTCTACACATCAGGAGGCCTCTAGACAGGCCTAATGGCAGCCCGGTAAGTTTTTCTCTATTTTTAAGGCTTTTGGGTGGGGTGGGCCAGGACCATCCCAAAAGTTTTTGGGATGGCATGGAGGTGGACACTCAGGAAAGCCCAGTTCTTTTGGGCACCCATGTAACCTCCAATAATAAACTGCTATCTAGAAGCACCCTCAATCCCAAAAAAAGATAAAATAAAATAAATGACTTTCCAAGAATGAAAGAACAACCAAAAACAAAACAACTCTAAGAAGATGTTATTCATTAAGCGAAATCTCCTGAACTTAGTACAGTGTTTAAGGGGTGAACTCGGCCACTATCAGTCTACCGTTTCAAATAAGGAACAACGTTCCACATTTCTGCCCAAGAGTTACATAAACAATGCAATGAAATAGGCCTCTGGGATCTTTTTGCAGACAAGCAAGCTCTCTGCATGACTATTTTGTTTTCATGGAGTCCAACTGGAGAAATTATTGGCTGCCCCCTGCTCCTCTTTAGCTCTAAGGCCAGTGCAAGGAGAACTGGCATTGTAAAAAGATCAAGCAGCAGTCAACATTTCATCAGCACTCAACAAACAAGTTAACGTTTGGCTGGGATCTGAAGGTCTCTCTCCTTTTGGCATATTTCTTTGATAATAGAACAAATGTCATATCAGTACAAGATGGCATATTTACAAAAAATGTACCCTGTTTTGCATAACCTAATGATGCAGCAGTTCTTGAGGACTGAACATTTCAAATCTGCTAGGAGAAGACTGCCAAAAGTATGACTGCTTCAAATACTTGCCAACAGCATATCAAACTCAAGAGAGAACTGCAAAACAACCTTTTTCACAAGTTTAACAGTCACCCCTGGTGCATGCTCTCCTGGCAGCCCATGACAAATAGTATCTGCATCATCATCCCATTCCCGCTTAGAGAGCTCCCCTTTCAGTCTTTTCCTTTTTCCTTTGCACTTGTCAGCCCAGTTTCTATCCAGCCTGCTCTTGCACTTCTCAAGGTGGTATGCTGTTTCACATCTCATCTCCTGGAGTCTTGTCCTGCTCTAGCCTCCATTGTAGAAACCAAACAGGGAGGTGTTCATGTGCATGTGAGCAGACTTTCTAGTTAATCCTGGCTTTCTTCACTATGCTACACCTGCCTCCTCCTTCTCTTTTATAATAGGCTTACAACTCTGTAGGATAAAATGAGAGATAACATTGAGATCATGCAGAAGCCGTGCTGGGCAAAGAGAAGTGCAAACTATCAGGCCTTGAATTAGTAGAAGTCTGCAGCTTTCGACTTCCAAAGAGATTAGCTATCCTTTAGTATAGTATGTTTTTGGCATGCAAAAGGTGATCACCCAGGATTGGTTGACACACATTTGTCTGAGGAATACCCCATGGAAGTGATAAGTCAGGTATGCGAAGGGAAGAGTACCACCGGCAGAATTTTCTCACATCATCTCAGAATACATTTATTTCCAATGGAAGTTCACACAACTATTAAGCATCACGTATGTGTTAATTGGAGCCCTGGTGGTTCAGCTGGACAAATTACTTAGCTGCTGAACTTGCTTACTGGAAGGTTGGTGGTTCGAATCTGGGGAGCAGGGTGAGCTCCTGCTGTTAGCCCCAGCTTCTGTCAACCTAGCAGTTTGAAAACATGCAAATGTGAGTAGATCAATAGGTACCGCTTCTGCGGGAAAGTAACTGCACTCCATGCAGTCATACCAGCCACATAACCTTGGAGGGTCTATGGACAATGCCGGCTCTCCAGCTTAGTAATAGAGATAAGCACCAACCTCCAGAGTCGGACACAGCTAGACTTAATGCCAAGAGGAAACCCTTACCTTTGCTTATGTGTTAATTAAATGATGTGCATGCTTGTATGAATCAGGCCCCAGAGTCTCCCATGTATCTCAGTGCGTTTAATTAAGGACAGGGCATCAAGTTCCACCAATGTCATGGTGAGCCACTGCATATGAACATTTTGCTCTGTGCCAACCTGTGAACCACAAACACTCACCCTGAACTAGGTTAGTGATGGTAACTGTGAAAACTGTAGAGTCTTAATTTTTTTAGGGAAAACAGCAAAGTCATATTAGGAGTTGACCTCTCTAGCTTCACCAGTGATAGATTCATAAACTGTACTGTCTATGCAACTTCACACTAAATGGTCTTTAACAATCATGGGTCAAGCAATGAATCTCTCAAGCAGAATTTATTTAATCCAGCTCAGCGTGGAACCACTATTAAATCTGTTTTAGGCTGGATCTACATGGCCATATATCCCAGGATATGAACCTAGATTATCTGCTTTGAACTGGATTATAGGAGTCTACACTGCTAGATAATCTGGGATAAGATGAAAATCTGGGATCAGATCCTGGGATTACTTAGTAAGTAATTTACAGAACATATTGGTCAGATTGAGCACATCCATACCTGACTAAAGCTAGAGTTTGCCAAGCACTCACATTGCTTCCTCAGCAAGATTTTAATGTACCTGTTTCCATTTTATACCAGAAGGAAAAGTCCAAGAAATACCAAGTCATGAAGGCAGCAGTGAAAGCAATGGTCATTACTCAAACCCTGTGTGTTTATTTTATGTATTGAATACTGTCCTCGTATAAAACTGAAATGTTATCACATTTTTGTTCTCCCTTTGAATTTTTATTCATATTTCTAAACACTTCTACGTGAAGTAATTTTATGCTGTGAGTTAGATTATGTTCCCTCTGAACATGTGACAATGAATGTTACCAGCAGATGTAATACATCACTCTGCCGCACATTTCCCAAGTTCATGAAGGCTCCAAGTAAACAGGTGCTGCTACCAGTCTGAACAGGTTTTCAGCATTTAGAAACGACCAAACTTTTGTCTAGGTGTCATTTTTTGAGCTGATTTGCAATTACTTCAATGTCTTGATGCTTTTCAGAAGAATGTCTCTAATGAAGTATTGAAGCCATGCACAATTCAACATGAGTAGGATGAGAGCACCATCCTAATACAACACAGTTAATAGATAGCTTCAGAATGACTTTAAATCCCTTCTTTTCTCTTTTCTAACAAATATTTGCCTAAACTATGCATGGGATTATTTTCTAGCCAATACAATGGAAGGGTTTTCACACTGCCATATAATCTGGATTATTAAATCAGATAATCCACATTATCTGCTCTGAACTGGATTATATGAGTCTGCACTGCCATATAATCCAATTCAAAGCAGATAATCTGGATTTTATATGTCAGTGTAGATGGGGACTAAGATGATTCTGTAGGACTCAGTTCTCCATTTAACTGACTGAAAGAGGAAGATATGACCCTTGTAAGGATCTTATCCTTACAAGGGTCACACCTTCCTCTTTCATCCTTTGGGCCCATCCAGACAGTACCTTCTGCAGCAAACAGGAGAGTGGCCAGATACCATTCCCTGTAAATGCGTAAGCAATCACTAAAAAAGGCAAAAACCCCACAACATTTCCAGGTGCGGGAATATCATGGTTTTGAGGTGAATATGTGGATCTTCGCATGTCTGTATGTCCCTGCATTTGGAAATCACAGGATTTTTTTTCATCTGGGTTTGTTCCTGGATTTTAGATATTTGTTCCTGATTGGTCGGTTCCTAAAAAGAATGTGACACTTGAGTAGAAGGGAAAAACTTTGTTTGTGTGCCAGAGACTTCATGAAATGTGTGGAGGACACATTTTCTCTGGCCAGGATAAAGTTGTGCCCCTCTAGTCAATGTTGTACATCTTTTCACAAGAAGAACAATCAGGAACTGCCATGTATAACTCAGGAACAGCATTCTGTTGTTTGATACCACAAGTATACAACCAAATCTGTCTGGCCAGGCATGCAGGCTCTAAAAAGTGTCAATAATGACAAAGTTCTGTTCCTGGCTTGAAAGTGTGTTTTCCTGTTTGATTGATTGTGCAGTGCTGACTTGAGCAGAAGTGGTCCTACCCCGTAAACTTTGTTTGTGTGGCGGATATTTCATAAAATGTGTCGGGTGCGCAGTTTATCTGGCCAAGGCAAAGAACAGAACTTTTGCAGTGATTCTTTGCATATCTGCATCTTGAGGGTTTTTTTTTTTTAAACAGCCAAAGTTTCCAACAGAAATTTTACGGTAGCCATTTTGGGAGCCTCTAAATCTTGCAACAAAGCATCAAGTCTAGACAACAAAGGCAGAAATCCTCGTACCAACAGGATATGTAGACCTCTTCTGAAGTCCCGGGATTTTTTGTGTAAAACCCGTGATTTAGTGCTGTCTGGAAGCGCCCTTTGTTAGAGTGAATTAGAAACATGGTGAACTTTTGTTCCAAAATAATCAGGTTTCTGGGTCCATAGAAAAGAGTGGAATCCATCCCTGACAAAAATTCATATTCTCTCTCTCTCTCTATATATATATATATAGATAGATAGATAGATAGATAGATAGATAGATAGATATAGATATCAAGGGATGCATTTGTCTTTTTTCTTGACTCCTATTATCATGAAACAAACAGAGTGTTCACTTTTCCACATTTAGGGGATGCAATGCACTGCAACAGTTTGATCAGTATTTCTACACGCGCGCACACAGCCTGCTTGCAACCTCTCCAATTTAATCCTCTGAGTAACACATTGGAAACCTTTAGCTCTTTGGTACTGGCAGTTTCAACGTGGACACTGCCAGCAATGGAGGCTGAGCCAAGAAAATTCGACTCCTGGCACAAAGAGATTACACAGTCCTCTGGTGCCATCTGTGCTGTGAAGTTGCAGAGTGACATTGTGCACCCAGAGCACTAACATTTCAATCTGTAGCAAGTTAAGAGACTTTCATTTACATAAGTACCACCTCACAGATCTGCTACCACTCAGCCTGCCTTCACAGAACCCCAAGTTATTCAGCAACCAAAAATCCCAGTCAACAGCAATGAGGACTGGGTTCTGAGTATGAGAACAAACCATCAGAATTGGGTGGATCAGTTCAGAAAGCTTAGAGGCAGGCCATGAATCACTGAAGCAGTTGACAGAAGAAGCCGAGAGAGCAAAATAATCAAAGCCTCATTTGCCTGTGTAGAGAACATTACCTCCTGAGAGGGCAACCAGAAAATCTCCTACAAAGGAATCTATGACAACTCAAGTTCAGCTCCCATGTGCATATCACCAAAATAATGGGCCCATTCTTTGACTAAGTATGCATTTATAACTGTTCTACTCTGTACTGCCGCTTTGTAGTCTCCTGTCATAATTTTCATGTGCAAGTAATAAGAGGTCCAGGTGTGACTGGTAGCTTCTGTGTCATGGGTCAAAAATCCACTCTGGGTTTGGTATTTAAAATTGTATCCAAGATGTTCTGTAAATATAGTATGAAAATTTCTAAAATCTAACTTTGAGTCTGGCCATGCCTCTACACATAGGAGCATTGGAAAATAAGGGCCAAAATCTGGTCAGGCTGCTACAATTAACATAGCCTACAGCTGTACATTTGTCTAGGGCAGTGGTTCCCAACCTGTGATCCATGGACCACCAGTGGTTCCCAAGAACAAAAATATGGCCCATGGTCTCACCATTACTACACAATTGCCTCGAAACCATGTGGCAATGAGAGCGACTAGTACCAAGGCAAAGGGGATGTCAGGACGGGAGAGGCTGACAACCCAAGAAAGATTATTACTACCACATCAGCTATAGATTATTCAAATTGGTTTTCTGTGGTTGAGCAGATGGTGACTACTGGATGGCATATGTTCTGTATCAGAAACTAGGGCTGATGTGGTCTATCCAATGCAATTTTCTGAATCAGCACCCCAAACAAACTGAATATAAAGTTGATGTTACTGATTTGTAATAATAATAATAACAATAACAATAATAATAACAATAACTTTATTTTTATACCCCGCCCCCATCTCCCCGAAGGGACAAGTCCAAGAAATACAGATTAAAACAAGTACCAAAAAAAAATCAACAACACAACAAATAAAACATATAACAATCACAAGCAAAACATCATAAAAACAGTATCATAGCTGAACAACAATAGATGCTGAGTTCAGAGGGCTCAGAAAATGTGCAATGGTTCCTAAACAGAGCTGAGGGAAAGTGCAAAATTTCAATAAAACCGGGATGGTAGGGTAATGACTCTAACCATTAAAATGTCAGGATTTTAATCCTTTTGGTACATTAGTCCCTGGTCAAAGTGGTCCCTGATTTTAAAAAATGTTGGGAACCACTGGTCTAGGGGCTATATAGGAATTGTAAAAGCTCTCCAAATTCCACTTAATAATAATTGATTGTGGGAATCACTGTGGGTCCATTCCCTTGTTAATAGAGAAGTGATTTCCTGATCTTTCAATCCCCTTTCACATGAGTGATCTCCAACACAAGGCAGCTTTGTGACAGGAACCTTTTTCTACCTACTGTGCCAGAGATTGCATGTAATACAATCTATAGCACTTGTGGGCAGAAAAAATAATTCATTCACTCAGAAATCATCTGGAATATATTAGCAATACCCATCCGACTATAATAAACATGTGCTCCCTATAAAACTATGTATTGTGATGCCTTCCAAAAACAAATAGGGGATGGTACTCTGTGAAAACAATGGAAATTACTCACAGCTCTACCTTCTCCCAGAGCAATTTTTATGAGGGCCATCAAGTATTGTAGTGGAAGGAGGTAGCACTGCATGACCACAAGTCCTCTCGTACATTGATGGATTTTGCCCATAGTGCTTTGCATCTAGAAAACTTCATGTTAAAGATGCTCCCTTACCTCATAATTATGTAAGTTATCCTCTTTTGTGGGAAGACCCATGTAACGTTCAGTGTATATAGAATCTGAAAGAAGAGAAAGAAAGAATTTTTCCTAAAATTCTTAGAATATTTTAACCTAAATAATTGTTTTAATGACAAATTTTAAACTACCACTCTATGTCTAACTTTTGTTTTGTGTATTTTAATATGTATTTTGTGGAAATATGTTCTAATATGTGTATTTTACAGAGTGTTTTAAAATGATTATGTGTTTTGATTATGTGTTTCAGAAATGTTGTAACCCACCTCGAACCATGAGGAGAGACGAGTAAGAAATAAAATAATAATAATAAAATATGCACAAAACTTGTTTGTGAGTTATTTGGACTAAGGCTTGAGCTACACTGCCCTATATCCCAGGATCTGATCCCAGATTATCTGTTTAACCAAGATTATCTAGCAGTGTAGACTTATGTAATCCAGTTCAAAGGAGATAATTTGGGATCGGATCCTGGGATGTAGCGCAGTGTAGATCCAGCCTAAACAATCTCGTCACATTGAGGTCCAATAAAGGTGATTGTGTGGGGATATGCCATGCAACGTGTCAAATCCAGCAAGCAGCAGAGGAACCCATCACCCGCATTGCTCACATCGTTCACTTACCCATCCCACAGGGAGAAGTCTTGCTACCTGCCCCCCCCCCCCGCTAGCCCCATTCTTCTCTATGAGAACATGGGAAGCCTCCTGTGTTTTCTAGGAAGCCTCCTAAGACACTTGTAACACGCTAGAAAAACGAAACCCTGCCAGAAGTAGTTGTGCACTTTCTGATGGCATCTGGCAGGCCCCGTCCTCCCTACATGCTGCAAGCATCCTTGGAGGCTAAAAATACGAAATGTGATGAGGTCCTGCATGTATGAACCCGTTGGGGAGGAAACAGAAGCAGGAATTTGCACTTAGTTCAGCCAGACTCCTCCTGCTCTCTAAAATAAGACTGTTTTTTAAAAAACCATTTGAAGATGAACCCACAATTTTAGAACATGAAATGAAAGCTACACTCAGAGCACTTGGGAGAAATAAGTCACCAGGAACAGATGGCATACCAGAATTGCTGCTTCAAACTACAGAGGCAAAATCTACTGCAGTTCTAACTAAAAACTGTCAAAAAATAGGGGAAACAAAAGAATGGTTACAGATTTGAAGTAGTCTATATACACCCCAATCCCCAAGAAAGGGGACACGAGGGATTGCAGAAACCACAGAACCACTGCATTAATTTCCTAAGTCATGCTCAAAGTTCTAAAACAAAGCAGTTCACCATATATGAAGCAAGAAATGCCTAAGCTAGATTCAGGGAAGTAAGAGCATAGAAGATCATACTGCAAACATACATTTGATAATGAAGTGCAAAAAAAAAATCAGTGGAAAATTAGCCTGAGCTTTTTAGATCACAGCATAGCCATTGATTGTGTAGATCAGGGGTTCTCAAAGTGTGCTCTGAAGAGCCCTTGGGGCTCCGTGGGTGATAGTGAGTGGCTCCATCGTGCCATGATGCTTCCCACCTCCTCCTTTTTCCTCCACCTGAGAAATGCAGGGAAATTAAAGTTTTGAGCTGCTGGAAACAACTACAGCAGTGGGGTCCTGAGGCCCAGACCCTTTCTCCTTCCTCCCTTATCCTTTCTTCCCAGACACCCCCCCCCCCCCCCCCCCCCCCCCCGGCTTCTTTGCTTTCGAAACTCTAATTCCCTCCCACAGCTCTGGGGGTGCTTTGATTGTGTTTTTCCTGCATGACAGAAGGGGGTTGGACTGGATAGCCCCTGGGGTTTCTGCTAATACTATTACTATTATTATTACAAAGGATGAATGGCCATCTGTTGGATGTGTTTTGATTGTGTTTTTACTGCCTGGCAGAAGAGGGTTGGACTGGATGGCCCCTGGGGTTTTCTGCTGAAATACTGTCTATCTGTCTATCTATCTATCTATCTATCTATCTATCTATCTATCTATCTATCTATCTATCTATTTTTCCACACACACATATACACTATACACTAACATATACATATATATCCACACATATACACACATACACGCATGCGCACACACACACACATATACATTTATTGTGGCTCCACAATAAACTTTTGCTTCAAAAACGGCTCTGTGGCTGAAAAAGTTTGAGAACTCCTGATGTAGATCATGACAAAAATATTGCGTCTGTGACAAAAATTTGTGTGTGTGTATTTTATGGTGCTTTCAAAATCTGCATCCAAAAAGACATAGGAAACAACTACAATATTGAAACATTTTTTTCCCTCAAAGTCCTGTGTAATTAACACCTTGCATTTCATGTCTTGCCTTTCACTTCCAGTTTTTAAAGAAGCAAGACATAAGAAGCAGGATCTTAATTTTCAGAACACACCTTTGGGAACTTTTTAGGACATCAAGCAAATCAATATGGAAATGTGTATACCCTTGTGCATATAGGAGAGGTGATCTGCAATGTGATTTAAATGACAAATCTTCCAGTCCAAGATTAAATTTGTGACCCCTCTCTTTTTAGAGCTCACTCTGAAGTAAAGGAAGTTTCTGTAGTTTTAGTGCTAATGAATTTTATGACATTCAGAAATGATCCCTCAACACTTTGGAACACATGGCACTTTTGAAGAATGCAAATGCAGACATTTGTATTATAGTAAAATTTCAAATATTAAGTAATTTTGTGCTTTTTAAAGGTTAAGCAGATTATTTTCTTTTTCCCATCCAAGTTCTTAGTAGAAAATATGATCCAGGGACACTGTGTAATGCCTCGCATGAGTTCATGAAGGCACCAAATGGCAATGTATTTTGGGAGGAGGATGAAATCAGTACATACATTGTAAAAACTTGAAACACCTTTGCAATGCAAGGGAGATGTATGTGTGTGTGTGTATGTATGTGTGTGTGTGTTGAAGTATGGTTTGTAACACGTTGCAAAACAACTTTCAATTAAATATCTAGAAAGAATCACATACCATAATATTGCCACCGTGACACTGGAGCGACAGCTATTCCACACTTGAAATATCCACTTTGGGAGCCCAACACCATGGATGCCACATAGCCACCATATGACTAGGAGGAAAGACAATATCACAGTTCAAGAACTCTTGCTGTTCTCATTTTGTGAGGGTGTGGGCTCTTCCACACAGCCCTATATCCCAGAATATCAAGGCAGAAAATCCCACAATATCTGAGTGTGGACTCAGACAATTATTATTATTTATTATTATTATTAACTTTATTTGTACCCCGCTAGCATCTCCCGGAGGACTCGATGCGGCTTACACAGGCCGAAGCCTCAAAACACAATATAGTAAAACATAACACAACAGTAGAAAACACAGCAAATCAATAAGCGATAACGACAATAACAATACATCATGACACTTTAAAACTGGGCCGGCCAGCGCAATGGGGTACAGGGTTAAAAGTGCTAGAGTGGCAGGAGGAGCATAGGAATAAAAATAGTACGGTGTGCAGTAATGTTAATTGTACTAAAGTGCTACTAGGACTTGGGTAGGGGATTCCTAATCTGAGAAGGCACATCGGAACAGCCAAGTTTTTAGGTTCTTTCTGAAAGCTGCTAAAGTAGGGGCCTGGCGAAGATCTTTTGGAAGGGCATTCCAAAGTCGGGGGGCCGCCACAGAAAAGGCCCTGTCCCGTGTCCCCACCAAGCGCGCTTGCGACGTGGGTGGGATCACGAGCAGGGCCTCCCCAGATGACCGGAGCGAGCGTGTGGGTTCGTAGATGGAGATGCGGTCACGCAGGTAGGGTGGTCCCAAACCGTTCAGGGCTTTGTAGGTAAGCACCTGCACCTTGAATTGGGCTCGGAAAATAAATGGCAGCCAGTGGAGCTCCTTAAACAGAGGGGTAGACCTCTCTTGTTAATGAAATACATCCTGGCTGCTGCCCGTTGGACCAGTTGGAATTTCCGAGCCGTTTTCAAGGGCAGCCCCACGTAGAGCGCATTGCAGTAATCCAATCTAGAGGTGACCAAGGCATGGACCACCCCGGCCAGATCAGCCTTCGCGAGGTACGGTCGCAGCTGGCGCACAAGTCTCAGTTGTGCAAAGGCCCTCCCGGATACCGCCGACACCTGAGCCTCAAGTGTGAGCGAAGAATCCAAGAGGACACCCAAACTGCGGACCTGTGGCTTCAGGGGGAGTGTAACCCCGTCCAACACAGGTAGCCACCCTATACCCCGTTCCGGTTTGCGATCAACCAGGAGGACCTCTGTCTTGTCAGAATTGATCTTCAGCTTGTTCCTCCTCATCCAGATAGACACAGCGGCCAGGCACTCGTCCAACACCCGAGAGGCCTCCTTGGAGTTAGGTGGAAAAGAGTAGTAGAGTTGTGTGTCATCTGCATAGAGATGGCACCCAACTCCAAAACTCCGGATGACCTCTCCCAGCGGTTTCATGTAGATGTTAAAAAGCATGGGAGACAAAATAGAGCCTTGCGGGACCCCACAGGTCAAAGGCCAGGGGTCCGAGCAGGTGTCTCCCAGCTTCACCAACTGGGAGCGACCCTCCAGGAAGGAACGGAGCCACGATAGAACCGTGCCCCCAAGGCCCATCCCGGAGAGTCGTCCCAGAAGGATACCATGATCGATGGTATCGAAAGCCGCTGAGATGTCCAAGAGAACCAACAGGTCACACTCCCCCTGTCCAGCTCTCTGCGGAGGTCATCCACCAAGGCGACCAAGGCCGTCTTGGTGCCATGACCAGGCCTGAAACCAGACTGTGACTGATCTAGGTAGTTGGTATCATCTAAGAAGCTCTGGAGCTGGGAGGCGACCACCCGCTCCAGCACCTTACCCAAAAAGGGAGGTTGGAAATTGGCCTGTAATTGCTCAGCACCGTGGAGTCAAGGGAAGCCTTTTTGAGGAGTGGACGAACCACAGCCTGTTTCAAGTTAGATGGAAAAATCCCTTGCTCCAACGATGCGTTGATAATCAATACAAACCAATCAACCAGCCCCTCCCTGGCTGATTTAATGAGCCAAGATGGGCACGGGTCTAGAGATGAGGTGGTCGCTCTCACAGCCCCAAGAATCTCCTCCACGGTTTCAGGAAGAACAAGCCTAAAAGAATCCCACAAGGTTGGACAAGCAGATGCCTCCGTCACCTCTTCTGGCACTGCGATGAAATTGGAGTCGAGCTCAAGGCGTATCTGGGCGACTTTACCTGCAAAATGGTGTGCGAAATCGCGACACCGAGCTGCTGGGTCATCAGTGACCTCCTCCACCACAGGTGGGTGGAGGAGTTCCCCCACGACCCGAAACAGCTCCGATGATCTATTTGCTGCAGACGCTATACGGGTGGTCGTGAATGATTTCCTGGCCACCCGTATAGCCACGGAGTATGCCTTAAGAGAGGCTTTAGCCCGTGCTCGATCAGACACGTCCCGAGATTTCCTCCATTTGCGCTCTAGCCCCCTTCTCGTATGCTTCATCACAGCCAGCTCCTCGGTGAACCAAGGGGATGGCCTGTCACGGCGCAACGAGATGGGGCGTTCAGGTGCGATCGTATCTAACGCCCTGGACATCTCCCTATTATAGAGAGCCACCAAGGCGTCGATAGAATCGCCAGGCTCCAAGGCAGGAAGAACCCCAAGATTCCTCAGGAATCCATCCGGATCCATCAGTCTCCTAGGGCGGACCATTTTAATCTGTCCTCCACCCCTGCGGAGGTTAAGGGTCACAGCAAGTCTAAAACTGATCAGATAATGATCAGACCATGACACCGGAAGGATGTTTTGATCTTCCACTCTAATCATTTTGTTGTCCGCCACAAAAACAAGGTCAAGAGTATGTCCAGCTTGAGGAGTGGGACCAGATATTATTTGTGACAGTCCTATGGTCGTCATGGTGGCCATAAAGTCCTGAGCTGCACCAGATAGGGTGGTCTCGGCGTGGATGTTAAAGTCTCCCAGCACCACCAGGCGCTGGGAGACCAAGGCCGAATTAGAGACCACCTCCGCTAGCTCAGACAGGGAAACTACTGGGTCGCGGGGTGGGCGGTACACCAGCAGGAACCCCACACTGTCACGGCTCCCCACTTTCAAGTGGACACACTCAAACCCAGAAGCCTGCGGAACAGCGCATCTGATCACGGCGATGGATTGCCGAAAGACTACTGCGACCCCTCCTCCCCGCCCCCCCTGTCTGGCCTGCTGATGCACTCCGAAACCCGGTGGACACAACTGAGTGAGATTTACTCCCCCCAGCTCATCCAACCAGGTCTCAGTAATGCACGCCAGATCCGCCCTCTCATCCAGGATCAAGTCCTGGATGGCCGCGGTCTTACCATTAACGGATCTGGCATTGATCAGCAGGACCTTAAGACCAAGGGGGCTGCCATGGAGCCTACCACTACCTACCTTCTCCAGGGTCGCAAGAACTCTGTTGCGCTTCTCCCTGGGATGTTGGTGACCCAGTTCAAAGCAGATATTGTGGGATTTTCTGCCTTGAAATTCTGAAATATAGAACGGCATGGAAGAGTCCTGTGTGAACAAACCATTCCTCAGTTTCCCCAATTTTGCCTGTGTTTTGGCTTGCTTAGTAATAAGGTATTATAATACCTGTTCTGAATTACCTTTGTAATTTGCGAGTCATTGCAGTACACTTCATTTCCAAGCTATACATTAACACAGTCTGAATCCACACTGTAGAATTGATGCAGTTTCAAAGAATCATAAAGTTGGAAGAGAACACAATGGACATCCAGTTCAATGAAAGGATTAATGTAATTTGACAATGATTTAACAGCCATGGCTCAATACTGGGATGTGTAGTTTGGTAAGGTAGCAGCACTCTTTGGCAGAGAAAGCCAAAGGCCTTGTAAAGCTACAACTCACATGATTCCATAGCATTGAGCCATGGCAATTTAAATGCTGTCAAACTGAAATAATTCTACAGTGCAGATAAATGCTCAGTTCCAGGAATCCATGTGGTTCCTCCTTCCTACATCCATATCACCCCAGTTTTCAGGACATTACTATTGATGGGAGGACTATAGTTTGGTATCCTCTTCTTAAGAGTTTCTGGTATCAGCCATTACCACCATAGTTCAGCGGGCAGCAATGTTATGATCATTCAGACATCATGAAAAAGACCTTCTCTATGATCAAAGGCAATGATGGCAAGCCTTTTGTTAATTGAAAAATACAAATCTTGCCCCAGACTGAATGACAAAGTATATTGTATTTATTTTCAGGATGCAGATAGTGCTTTCAGACAATTACTTTGTGCCAGAAAGTTAACTTTGGGATCAGTGAAGTGTCTGGAGCAGTGTTGTCAGGAAGGCATTGTGCTAGAAGGAACATCTGTCAGTATCAGCATGACAACTGAAATGGAGTAGAAACTAAAACTCCACCCATAGCTTTACAGCAGGGGTGTTGGAAACTAAGGGCTACCTTACTCCCTTCAGGAGACCTTTGAGGGCCACCAGACTCTAGAAGACCCATTCCTGCAGTGCTTGTACCCACGTCAAGACAGCCATTTAGGGGCCACTGACACAGCCATATAATCCAGAATATCAAGGCAGATAATCCACAATATCAGCTTTGACCTGGGTTATCTGAGTCCACACTGCCATGTATATATTCCAGTTCAAAGCAGATAATGTGGGATTTTATTCAGCTGTGTGGAAGAGGCTTAGCAACCATGAGAGCATACAGTGTTTCCTTCACTGCCAAATAGTTTAAATGTACAGGTAAAATTTCTTTCTGCCACAACTGTGGAGCTTGCTTCCATTAGGTATCAAATCTATCTGAACAGATTTTACAGGAATAAAAAAAAATGTGCTGAGGATATTCATTCTTTTGCTAGAAAATGCCATTGTGATTTGATACATTTTGAGAGTTTTGATTTGTGCACTATATTCTACTCCTAGCCAGCAATGTGCTGCTACCTATAACTCATTTTTGAGGGGATTCGGTACCTTTTCAAAATGATTTCCACAATTGCCCTGCTACCTAAGAGGTTTAAAGCTCTTGGTTATAGCCATGATTTTAGGCCTCATTTAGATTCTCCACCCCAGTGACATCAATCTCCAAGTTATGTTTAATCAGATATAAGCCTCCCTATGTTTAATTCCAGGTTGCGTTCACACTACACAATTACACTACTTTGATTCCACTTTCCTGTGGAATCCTGGAATTGGCAGTGGAGGGCAGGACCTTAAAATCCTTACCAGAGAGTTCCTCTGAGGCCTCTGACCAAACTACAATTCCCAGAATTCCACAGGAGACAGCTACAGCAGATAAAGTGGAATCATAGTGCCATCACTGCATACTGTGAAACGGCCCCCAGTGAAGTAGGTAGTACACCCAGTAGAAGGGGAATGGCCATATTTCCTTATGGGTTGCTCTCAAGAATGGAAAGATGCCAAACACTTGTTCCCAAACTTTTTCCACAATCTCTCCAATTTCCACCCCTTGATATCATAGCAATCTATCTATACACAGTAAAGCACAAAACAATTGCGCAACTGTGAGGGAGTGCTGGAGAAAAAAATAGATATAAGATGCAACAGTGAGGTGTCCTTGTCCAGCTTCCTCTGTTGCCGAGCAGAAAACTGATTCTTATCTCTCACCATTGAGATAAGAGAAGTTTCTGCACAGTGCAAATGAAAAGCTGCCCTTCTTTCCTTTGTGATGAAAAAGAAGGGAAAGTTGGGGAGGGAATACCAGTAGAGCTAGAATTTCCCCATTTTGCCTCTCTCTAATTGGAGCAAAGGTATTTTTTTCACTGATATTGTAAACTTTAATCACTTTAGTTTGCTACTACAAAGGCAGTTAATGGTCAATACTTACCCAGCCCCAGATGGCTATTCTTTTCTCATCAACAAAGCTCATTTTAGAAAATTGCCTAAGAAAAAACACGGAAAATATAGTTAGTATTCTGTTCACATAGCCCCCACCCCAGCAATCTTTTACACACACCTACTCTGTGGGCCCTTCCAGACAAGCCCTACATCCCAGGATCTGATCCCAGGTTTTCTGCTTTAAACTGGATTATATGAGTTTGCACTGCCAGATAATCTGGATTAAACAGAAAACCGGGATCAGATCCTGGGATATGGGGCCTGTCTGGAAGGGCCCTGTGCTTCCTGGAGGACAGGTGTGACTAAAAATGTTATCTGTGGCACAATTTCCCAAGGAAAATATTTTTTCTAGCCATCTTTATTTTTCATGAGTCATTTGCTACAAAATAAGAAACAGAGTCATCGGTCACATTTGAATACTAGTATACAAGGAAGAAGGGGAGTATTGCAATACTTCACATACTGGGCTGCCAAAATCTGATCTTGAACTTCGTAGGTGCCCAGTCTTCGATATATTGCATGTAGGATTTTGTCTCCTTGATAGCCACTTCCTCTGCCATCAAAGCTAGCAACAATAATATCTTCTGAGCTCGCCAGGTATGTAGCCCAATTGATCTTAAAGGTAGCATCCGCTTTCTGACTGCAGGGCCCTGCATACCTGTGGAGAGAATCTCAGGTGATTTCATGCATTGTACTATATAATTTGTAAACCAATCTGGCTGATAAGGCAACTGCAGCTGGAACTGAGAAGTTCAAGAACCCCATCGAGCTTTCCATAAGCACAGTTATCACTGTGGTTTGCATTCACTTTCAATACATGGAATGATCCAGATATGAAGGGATTTTTAATGTTCTTTTCAATGGATTTTAATGTTATTTTATGATTTTAATAACTACCATAGTTAAGGTTTTTTTGTGTAACTTTTGTTGTGTGGCTTCAATAATAATAATAATAATAATAATAATTATTATTATTATTATTATTCAAGCCATTTCCAACCTAAGGTGAGCCTATCACAAGAATTTCTTGGCAAGTTTTGTTTTGTTTTGTTTTTTTTAATTTCGTGTCAGGAGCAACTTGAGAAACTGTAAGTCGCTTCTGGTGAGAGAATATTGGCTGCCTGTAAAGACATTGCCCAGGAGACACCCAGATGTTTTGATGTTTTACCATGCTTGTGGGAGGCATCTCTCATGTCCCCACATGGGGAGCTGGAGCTGACAGAGGGAGTTCATCCACACAGAAAATTAATAATTTGAGACTGATAACATCAAAAGGTTGTGTTGGTGGTTTTTAAAAAAAATGCAGTTAGGCACCTATCAGCAGTACTATTGCACCGGTTCGGTCGTCTCCCACCTCCTTCATCTGTAAAACTTAACTGGCAGTTTTCAACGATAATGGAAAGAGCACCAATATGTGTTAGATGGTTCCTATATTGTATTTCCAAAAGTACAACACCCAGAATCAAAATTGAGCACAGAACTAATAAAGACTGGAATTGGGGGCCAATTAGTTCTCTATCTCAAACTATAGACACCACAAGGCCAAACTGACCAGAGGTAGGAGTATTACCAAGAGGACAAAAGTGGTGTTGAGTGCAGACAGTAATACTAGTCAGGAGCAGCATTCACAGGAGGAGAGGGGCAGATAGCAGCCTTACACCAAAAAAGCCAGACTTTTTCTCACAGAAGTTTTGTGCCAACAGGTTAGTGGTAGAGTTCATACTATTATTATTATTATTATTATTATTATTATTATTATTATTATTATCTCTGTAACCTCAGCTCATCTCAACTGGCTGTTGAGTCAACACAACAGATTCTCATAACTATAATTTGAAGACTGCTCCATCCATCACTGCCCACAAATTTCAAACATTATTATATTTCAAAGTTTTGGGGATTATGTTTGACATTGTGTTGTAGTCTTGAATATTTTAATTGCATGGATTGCCAGCATTGTATTCTGGATAATTTGTTTTGAATTTTATTGTATAGTTTTGTTATTTGTTATTGCTCCTTCTGTCCATATATGTATGTGTATGTGTACACACCTATATTTTAGATTATATGGTCATTGTTTTTGCTTGTTTTATTGTAATAACACATAACCATTAAAAAGTCATGGTTATAATTCTGTGAAAATTCTCCAGGAAACTTCTCCTTGATAAAATAAAGTCTCCATAGAAGAAGCCTTCTTCCTTTTGTTGCAGTGGAACTGAGACACTTCCAGATTTGCTTTTGTGCCCCACACCATTTTTATTCCTCTGTTACTGAAAAGCACTGTCTTCTAAATATCATTTAGAATACCATTTATTTCCCCCATATGTTGTCCTAAAAGTTACCTAACTTCGAGTGAGTTAATAACCCAAATCAGGAATAACTTTTGATGTTCAAATTTCTAATAATATATTTGCCCTTTACTTCCCATTGCAATTTGAAGCTAAAAATATAAATCCAGTAATAATTATGTCACTGCATTAGGCTTAAAATTACAAATTAACATGAGCACAAAAATCAAAACAATTGCTACTATGGATGACCTATTACTATGTATGACAGGCAATTTCTAGTCAATATGGAATATCTGCTTCCTATTTAATATGAAACACAAATTTCTACAATTTGTAGTAAGAAGAAGCTGGGTAATTAATGCAAATACATTAATATGTGCAGAGGAGTGTGAAGGAGGAAAGGATCCAGGAGCATATGTTCAGGGTCCAGTGAATATGTCTTGTTACATTTCCGAATAGCTTTTGCAAAATAAGAAGGAACACTGCCATTGTGTATTTGCTAATTGTGCAAGATGTAAGACTTATATTTTCTAATCCACATTCCTTTTCTTTTACCAGTAATATATGGCCATTGTGTTCTAAGTTAGTTGTTTCCATGACATATAACAGCCTTCATCGAGAGATCATCTATTGATGTCAGTAAGAGTGTTTCAATTGATTTTAATAAGCTCTGGACTGGTCTCAAGAGACTGAACTAACCAGCTGTTTTCAGATGAATCCTGACTCCTTGCCCTCTAAGCTAATGAGCATCTCCTCATTACCCTTGTTTCCTAATGACAGTAGTGAATGCAAGAGGAAATCAACACCTTCTGGGAAAGTCACATTTAAGAACACAATTGAGGTTATTCCTTATTGTTCTTTGTTGTTGACCAAGTTTGTATACAGTGCTCCCACAGTCCTTACACTGCTTTCCCCGCACATGAAATTTGATGGTTATATTGCAAATATAAACTCCACATTGGCTGGAATTAACTACTCTTAGCTACAAAATAACATTAATGCAAACTGTTTGATGAAGATTTAATCAAAATACAAATAAAAATGTTTTATACATATAAAGAACATCAAGCACTTAATTAATTAATTATTTAATAATTTAATAAAGAATCAAGAATGGCCAAGTTGTCTGACTTACACATCAATGAGCAGGGGGTACTTCTTTGACTCAGCAAAATTGGGAGGCAAGATCATTTGATACCAGAAATCTGAAAGCAAATACAAACATGTATTGCTGACCCAACCAAATAACTAGCACATGAAAAGTATTAATATGTTTTACTTGTGGACAATCCTGAGTTGATTCAGAGAGTCTACATTGATAAGAAAAAGTGAACTCATCTCAAATCCTCCTCAAAATGGTGGCTTCCAGCAAGACTATCCTGAGTTTTCTGTGTTTAGTCCAATTTTGCCCTGCTTTAGGCAAAGTCAGGGGTACTTTGGAGTTTCCTAGAAGCTCTAGAGCAGTGGTTCTCAACCTGGTAGTTCCCAGGTGTTTTGGGCTACAACTCCCAGAAATCCCAGCCAGTTTACCAGCTGTTAGGATTTCTGGGAGTTGAAGGCCAACATATCTAGGGACCCACAGGTTGAGAACCACTGCTCTAGAGTATTCTAGGGCTTCAAGGCAGCCAGGACATCTGGATAGGTTGGACATCAGATGGACACCAAGCAATCATCCTTTTCCTGAGCTGATCGGGACATGGGAAGGGGATGGTTCATCTGCATGTCACTACTGCTACTCCCTGCCATCCATGGAGATCCATGCAAGTGTCTGGCTATCATGATTGCATCTGCCAATGCCAGAATGGGACACCTATGTGACCAGCAGTAAAGAGGGCATCAATCTACCCCCTTCTTAATGATTATGCAGGTGTCCTTTTATGACATCACAGGCAACTGGTAATAGGGAGGCATCCTCATGGAGCTGCATGGCTGGTGGGGAATGGTGGTGATGTCCCAACAAAGCTGATGTGATTCCAGCCTGAATGCTACAGTGCCACAGTGGGTTTAGTTGGGTTCTTCTGGTCATCATCACAATTGCTCCAGAACCCGTTCAGAGCATAACATTCTGGATTGGCCTCAGCTTAAACCAACCAGTCCATAATATGAGGTAAACATGTTTAAATTGGTTATACCCTGTGTCTAGGAGAAATTAGGGACACTCCAGGGTTTATATGGATAGCTGGAGTGGCTCTAATTAAAACAAATCCCCTGTCCATGCAGATGTTCCTTTGGATGGGGGTCATGCCACCCTTTTGTCACCGTGGCAGCTTGTCATGGCACTCTGGAGAGCTCCAGGCCATCACCAGGTGTCATTGCTGACATCAGCAAAGAAACCCATGCAACCAGTTAAAATAAGAGGGTTTGTCCCCATCCCCACTCCTTCTTATGCCCCACCGCCATCTCCCAAAATGGACTCAGGGCAGCTTACAGGCATTTTTTTTATCGTATCAGGAGCGACTTGAGAAACTGCAAGTCGCTTCTGGTGTGAGAGAATTGGCCGTCTGCAAGGACATTGTCCAGGGGACGCCTGGATGATTTGATGTTTTTATCATCCTTGTGGGAGGCTTCTCTCATGTCCCATGTCCCCGCATGAGGAGCTGGAGCTGATAGAGGGAGCTCATCCGCCTCTCCCCGGATTAGAACCTTACGACCTGTCGGTCTTCAGTCCTGCCGGCACAAGGGTTTAACCCACTGCGCCACCAGGGGCTCCTTTACAAGGCACTGCAAGTGCAGCATATAACATAAATGGTACATGAGTATAAAAACAATATCACACAAAAATTATAAAGGCAACCTCTATCAACACATCAAATAAATAAAAACACAGCTTAAAACGCAGATCATATGTAGTTAAAAGTAGCTGCCTCCAATTCACAACTAAAGTGCCAAAGTGTCAAAAAATGTAGCCACCCCCAGGGCCAGGCTGGAGTATTGCTACTGCAGACCAGCTTTGGATTAAGTGGCTCTTGTAGATGAGCCCTTAGAAAGCCCCAGCTGCCACTGGAGGGAGATACATGCCAAAGTCACACCCAATGAATTTTGGCATCAAGGTGCAACACAGATCAGTTCAGCTAATTTTAAAGTTTTACTCTCTTGTAGAAATCAAGCATGACTACTCTGCTGCTCACTGCATTTATTCAGGATATGCCTGTTTCGAGGGGAAAAAAGGAATGCTTGCAACTGCAGAATGAACAGGTGAACTATGTGTGGGTGCTGCAGATAGGTGTCATGTGCAGACTAGCAGAACATGATGGGAAGTGTTGATCAGAGAGAAGTAATGAGAAAAATCATGAATGGGAGTGCAGCACAAGAATCAGCCCCAAGAGATGTTTATTTAGCAGTATGTCAAGAAGCCTATTTCAGATTTCAGTGGAGGTGGTGGGGCATACTGTCAGCAAGATTAAATACATATAATGAAGATGAAATGGGAGGCTTGGTACTTTCCAAGAATGAAGGATAGTTACTTTCACATGTATCTGTAATGAGAAAAACCACAAATGGAAATACATTTGGCTCTCCACATTTGCAGCTTTGATCATTCATGGCTTTGATTAAAATGTTTTCTCTAGGAATCTCCAGATCCTCCAGTGTGACTCTATGGTAACATTCCTCCACTGGAAGACTTAGACCAGTGGTCTCAATCTGTGGGTGCCCAGATGTTTTTGCTTTCAACTCCCAGAAATCCTAACAGATGGTAATCTGGCTGGGATTTCTGGGAGTTGTAACCCTAAACACCTGGGGACCCATAGGTTGAGAACCACTTAACTAGACATTTCTAGAGATAATACCCTCAGTATAATTCTGTGGTCATTGTATGTGGTTGCGCTTGTACTGAAGGACCCTGAAATTTCTGGACAGATGTTCACTGGTGAAAAAAGTAAACAGCAATCCTATTATTTAGTTTTTAACTTTCACAGGGGTCCTGTTTTCCTAACCCCAGCAAATGTGGAGAAATGAAAACTAACATGAGAATAAGCCTGCAAGGTATCATTGCTATTATATTTGAAAAGTAATTTGATGGATTTCTGTTTACTTTTCCATTGCTTTCACTTTTTTTGAGGGCATTACTTAAGATTAGTGAATGACACAGGCCTTGGAAAATATATGTCAAAATGCCTCTAAAATGCATGAAACATATCTTAAAGTACTGCTTTTAAAAGTAACTGGTAAGTGTAACTCATTAGACCAGCAAAGTGTTTGTCTCCAATTACTACATTATTTTTGGAAACTTATTAGACCTTTGTATCAAAAAAGGACAACTCTTGTACAAGTGTCTGTAGCTTGTGACTTCCTAGGATTGAGAGACAAGTGTATTGGGCAAATAGGTTTAAATGTGCAGCCCTGCATAATAAACAAAGGCATCTGTCTTACCTATTAACTCCTCCTGGGAGAGGAAAAGCAGTAAGAGAAAGAAAGATGGAGATGATCATATAAAAAGAAGAGGATCTTTACATTTCCATTTTCTCCCTTTTAGATTACATACTTTGACATAATAAAAGCATTACTTCAGAAAAAAGCACAAATATAAAGAAGGATATGGGGGTGGGAGTGGGAAGTACAAGGATATGTCATCAGTGCTGTTGACAGGCAAGAAGCTGGAATTTCAGAAAAGCAAGTTAGAACACATTAGAAGAAATTCCTTCAGAATTTGTTGAGTCTGAGTCTTGGATTGTACGTGTTTTCTAGGAAGCAAACCAGTCTGAATTCAATGGATTTTCCACTGTAACAAGTGGTTACACCATTTGAAACTTATCACAGGAATATTTTGCCAGTACTGGCTGGAACTCCTTCTGTTTTGCAATGGTCCAGGTTCATAAACAGTGTGGCAGCTGTGTAAAGTGAAGGGGAGGACCAGTAGAGACAGAGCATCTGCTAATTACTTGCATTAATCAAGCAAGCAGTAAATTGCATTTGTGACAGAAATCCACTCATTCATCCATCCCAAAACTACATGAAGGACTTTCAGAAATCTCTGTACTTTTATGAAAATCAGGGCTTGACATCTGCAGACAGTTTGTGTGGAATGATAATAAAAATAATAAACTTTATTTATACCCCGCCCCATGTCCCCAAAGGGACTCGGAAAGGGTAACAAAACAAAGAAATATCAATTTAGGACACAGAGTTCAAAGCAGTTATGACTCTTTTGCACTTTGCCAGTTCTGCTGACCTTACTGGGCCTTCATATGTAGTGCAGGTTGAATATCCCTTATCTGAAATGCTTGGGACCATTAGTAGCTTGAATTTTGTTTCTCTCTCTCCATATTTTGTAATACTTGTATTTGAATTTACAATGCAAATTGAGATATCCAAGTCTATGCAAAAACAAATCACATATTTCATATAAACCTTATACACATGGCTTGAAGGTAATTTTATAAACATTTTAATTCTATTGTGCGTGAAAGCAAGTTTGTGTACATCGAACAAACAGAAAGCAAAGGTTTCACTATCTCAACCATGGAGAATTTTGGATTTCAGACTATTTTGGATTTCAAAATTCCAGATTAGGGATGTTCAATCTCTCACAGAAACTTGGTGCACACATCATTTGTTTGAATTACTTATGGTTGGCAATTTACTCATAGCTCACTCTCTTGATCACTGAGTGTAAGATGACAACTTCAAGGATCATTGCACCTTTCATGTTGCCCACTACCTGATGAAATGGCACCTCACCATCGCCTTGAAAGCAGTGTCAAGCATTACATTAAAGAAAGTCTTTTTCAATAACTACAACCATTAGGACTCCACAAGAACATTCGGAACATGTATATTTTCCTTGGAAACAAGTTTAACAATTTTAATCTTCATTTTATGTAAAAATTATGTTTTGCTTGTGAACTTACTTTCCCCATGCAGTGAAATATTTTTTAGTATTTTGGAGGGCATCTGGATATCCTTCAGAACATTTTCAAAGTCAATATTGTTTTCCAGAACCTTTATAACTACAAAAAAGAAAAGAAAAAAAGAAATGCACAAGGGAGTTGAAGTAAACCTGTATTCAAATAATTAACTTTAAAGTACAGCAGGGCATTCGTATCCATAGGGGTTTGATTCCAGGACCACCTGGGGACACCAAAATCTGTGAATGTTCAGGTCCTGTTACAGACAATAGTGTAGTAAAATGGTGTCCCTTATGTAAAATGGAGAAACCAAGCTTTGTTTTTTGGGATTTTTGTTAATTGGTGGGTTTTGGAATATTTTCAAGCTGTGGATGCAAAATCCATGGATATAGAGGGCCAACTATATAAACCTAAACACAAAATTTTACACCCCCAAAAGTGAGCACAAGTCTATAACTTAATTTCATATTAACACAAGCAGAGCAAATGTTAATTGTAAATCCAATGCTTCATTTAGATGATGATATTTTGCCCTAATCAATAAATAAAGCAAAAGGCGTGGGAGAAGGGAAATGAATATACTAGATCTCATTCACAGGCACCCATGGTGATGCTGCTGTCAATTCACTTGGTTTTTTCATAGTCAATCGTCACCAAAGAGAAGGAAGACAACCCATTAGGTAGAAAAGGTTCACACATGATTACCCAGAAGGATAAAAAATGGGGGAAATAGCTTGAATATCAAGATTACAAATGTATAAGTAGTAATTACGTAAGTCAAGAGAGCCTCAGAAAAAGAACAAGGATCTGTGAAGAGGTGTGACATGTTTGAAAACCCTTTGGCCTCCATTGAACCACCCAATATCTCTGACGTCCACACTTTCCTGTTTTGTATTTGTTTTAAAATAAATCACATTGAAAATGAAGTGCCACAGTTCTACAAATATTCATGACCATTCAGCCACTAGAGATTGAGAAGATATTCTTTTGGACAATCTTCAGAATTCCTTATACTGGTTTTATATTTCTTGGAGCTGTAGTCCAAAAATGTGGCTTTTTCAAGCTCTGAACCTTACCCACAATTCCAATAATATTTATCATATTTATAAAGTGGTTTCCACAGGCATTTTAATAATAATTTCCAGAAGACCTACACTGCCATATAATCCAGATTATCAAAGTGGATAATCCACATTATCTGCTTTGAAGTGGATTATATGAGTCTACACTGCCATATAATCCAGTTCAAAGCAGATAACCTGGGTTTATATAGCAACGTAGAAGGGGCCTGCGAAAACCCCCAAATGCTATTGCTTTTCTCTCTCTCTATCAGCTATGTTTTATGCTTGTAGACTAGGGGTCAACTGCTTATTATCTTTCACTGAACTAACTGTCCATTCGTTCTCCTAGAGACTACTATTATGGATAGAGATGTGTACAATCAGGGGTCCAATCATGTTGTGCACTGAGTCTGGGTATGTGTGAAGCCATGTGGACTGATATATGAAGGACTCACATATAAGCATCACAAACTAATGCTATGGGTAAAGAAGTTAAAAACTCTAAACCAGGAATGAACAATGTGTGACCCTCAAGATGTTGTTAGAATTGACTTCCCATAATCCCTAGCCATAACCGATTGTAACGATGTAGACAGCCTGTGGGCTTCTAGGCTTTGTTGTATTTCAAATTGCATTGCAAACAGTAAAAGCCCACAAATAACTATGTACTCACAAACTTCTAAAGGAGGACAATAAAGTAAAAATACCTTGATCTGAACTGTTAAGCAAGGTGAAATAGGGTAGACCAGGACCTGTTACAAACAAAATGTTAAGATACGTGATTTATTCATTTTGAATTAAGGCATGCAAGAAAAAACTCTCATCTAATTATAGTTGAACTCATGGTCAGTAACTCAGACAAGGATTTAGTCTGAGAGAAAAGAAATGCAAAGAAAGGAAAGCTTTTTTTTTTGAGGCTTTATCTGCTTAACGTTTCAATGCTATGGCCTCCTAAACTAAACTATAGCCATCTAAACAGCCAAATGAAGATCTCAATCCTTCTCCTGCTTTTCTAAACTGCCAGATGGACAGCCTGAAGTCTGACCTTTTGCAGAAGAAACAACAGCCTTTCCATGAACAGCCTTTCTGCGCACCCACTGCCTTTTATGACACAAATAAAAAGCTTGAAAAGATGCTCAAAGGAGAAACCTAAGGAGAATGCTCTGCATTTATTCTGCAAATGAATGAATGAATATGTGGACACAATTGAGAACAAACTATAGCCACCTAAACAGCCAATGAAGATCTGGTCAAATGAACATAAATGATCATTGTGCCCCTGATGGTGCAATGGGTTAATTCTTGTGCCAGTAGGACTGCTGACCGAAAGGTTGGCAGTTTGAATCTGTGGAGCGGGGTGAGCTCCCATCTGTCAACTCCAGCTTCCCATGCGGGGACATGAGAGAAGCTTCCCAAAAGGATGGTAAAACATCTGGGTGTCCCCTGGGCAACGTCCTTGCAGATGGCCAATTCTCTCACACCAGAAGTGACTTGCAGTTTCTCAAGTCGCTCCTGACATGAAAAAAAAAGATTGTCAATGGAACTGTATGTTTCAGTGTTTTTCTTCCAGTGCTTTGAGGAGAATTCAAAGTCCAGAATTGTTGGATGGGTGCCTACAGCTATGTATATACAAGAAATATTATATCCATGTTCATTAATGCTGCCCAAAATTGAATTAAATTAAAACCAATTAAGTCTTTGCTAGTCATGAAGCAGAAAACCCCATTAAGCACATGAAGAGGCTTGGGCCCATTCTCATAAAACCATTCACCCATTGAGCTTCTCTTGTCTGTATAATGCCTCATACCCTGTGAGAAACTGGAGAGTATTTAAGACAGCAATAGGAAATGAGTGGTCCTCCAGTTGCTGGAATGCAGTTCCCACAATCCATAACCATACTGGCAGTGCAACAACACCTGGAGGACCATAAGCTGTCCATCGCTGGGATCTAAAATTTGAACCAGAGAAATGATAACCTCAGGCTGAGACCAAATAAGTACAGTAACTGACAAATGCATAGGCTATGGAGCCCTCTTCAGACATAAAAGGGAATAAGGATATGCAATAGTACTCTCAATGAGTATGAGCAAAACCTATATTTATTAGAATCCCTAATATCAAGAAATATTTACCTCAAACAGAAATGGCTGTACTCACCATTGCAATTCAGCTTATAGTATCTTGCATTTCTGCTGAAATATGCTGAATAATATTGACACCTTTCTTTGTTTAGAAAACAGCTAATGCATTTTTTTGGGTAGCCGCTTTTTAACTCTACTCTGCACAGATGAGAAAAAGACAAAATAATATTTATTGTCAAAGGCTTTCATGGCCGGAATCACTGGGTTGTTGTAGGTTTTTTCGGGCTATATGGCCATGTTCTACAACAGCCCAAAATAACATTTCATTAATCTCTAAACCAGGCATCCTCAAACTGTGGTCCTCCAGCTGTTTGGGCTTCAACTCCCAGAATTCCTGGCAATTGAACAAGCTCATTAGGGCTTCTGGGAGTTGGAGGCCCAAACAGCTGGAGGGCCGCGGTTTGAGGGTGCCTGCTCTAAGCCAATCACAGCTCTATTAAGAATTCAATAGAGTTCAAACCAGTTTTGATTGGTTGTTACTGGATATCAAACAATTCCACTAGTGCAAACACGTCTTCCATTCTGTCTTGTTTTTCAATGAACAAGGATTTGGGCGGGAGGAAATATTTCACTATAATGTCTTCTAAGCATTTCCATGGGAATCATCCACTCACCATTTGTACTTATGCATGTTTTCCTTTCTATGGGAACTCTGTTATATTGGGTTGCTGTGAGTTTTCCAGGCTATATGGCCATGTTCCAGAAGCATTCTCTCCTGACTTTTCACCCACATCTATGGCAGGCATTCTCAGAGGTTGTGAGGTCTGTTGGAAACTGGGCAAGTGGGGTTTATATATCTGTCCAGGGTGGGAGAAAGAACTCTTGTCTGGTTGAGGCAGGTGTAGATGCTGCAATTGATCACCTTGATTAACATTGATTGGCCTTGCAGCTTCAAAGTCTGGCTGCTTTTTTAAAATACAGATAGCCAGATTTTGTTCATTTTCATGGTTTCCTCCTTTCTGTTGAAATTGTCCACATGCTTGTGGATTCCAATGGCTTATCTATGTAGCCTGACATGGTGGTTGTTAAGAGTGGTCCAGCATTTTTGTGTTCTCAAATAATTTGCTGTGTCCAGGTTGGTTCATCAGGTGTTCTGCTATGGCTGACTTCTCTGGTTGAATTAGCCAACGAAATCCATAATCTTGTGGACAATTTCAACAGAAAGGAGGAAAACACAACAATGAACAAAATCTGGCTACCAGTGTTAAAAACCTATAAAATCAGGACACTAAATAAAAAGCAACACTCAAAAACAGGGGAATTCTTGACAGGAAACAATCAGGGCCAGCTAGCACCTCTCAACAAAGGATTCCACCCAGGCAGGAAACAGCTAGGCTTTGAAGTTGCAAGACCATTCAGTGCTAAACAAGCTGGCCAATTGCAATAGTCACACTTGCCTCCAGCCAGACAAGAGTTCTTTCTCCCACCCTGGACATTCCACAGATATATAAAACCCACTTGCCCAGTTTCCAACAGACCTCACAACCTCAGAGGATGCCTGCTATAGATGTGGGTGAAATGTCAGGAGAGAATGCTTCTGGAACATGGCCATACAGCCCAGAAAAATCAAAGCAACCAGTGATTCCAGCCATGAAAGCCTTTGACAACACTTTGCTATATTGTTTCCCTCTTGATACTCAGATACTCCTAGAAGTCCCCAGCTTTTGTGGATACCGGACAGATATTTAGGTTGTTTCTACGGTATGTCTTATGTACCAGAAAATTACACTTTCTGCTTGTTTAATGGTAGCATTATAAATCTTAAGAGCAGTACAGTAACCCAACTTTCTGTCAAATATTTTCAGTCTGTGTGCATTAAGTAACTATGCACCCTGTTGATAGTCCTTCATTCTAAGCCACAATATTTTAACTAACCTATCATTAAAGTTTCACATGGTTTGATCAGTGCCTTCACACACATAAAGCCATGTAATTTTCCACTGTGCAAAAGCTTCAGAATTTGGGACCACTGATATGGATAGACTCAAAAAAGAAATCTGTTCACCTACCAACAAAACAAGGCCATATTCAAAGCCCCCAGTGGCGCAGTGGGTTAAACCCCTGTGCCGGCAGGACTGAAGACCAACAGGTCGCAGGTTCAAATCCAGGGAGAGCATGGATGAGCTCCCTCTATCAACTCCAACTCCTCATGAGGGAACATGAGAGAAGCCTCCCACAAGGATGATAAAACATCAAAACATCCGGGCGTCCCCTGGGCAACGTCCTTGCAGACAGCCAATTCTCTCACACCAGAAGTGACTTGCAATTTCTCAAGTCACTCCTCACATGACAAAAAATATATATTCAAAGGTGCCTTTCCACAAAAAGCAGTCTTTCCCATGAATAGGTGGGTTTAGGAGACTTAGCGTGAGATCTCAGAAAGTGGAAATGAAACCATGCTGCCATTAGAGCAAGGTACTCTATAGTCTCTTGGACAAGATTTCAAAAGATATGCTTGAATTAAGGCCATGTTGCATAAAGTCTTCTTGCCTGATGGTTTGCTAAATGTTTTGTTTCGGAGGCATCACCAGCAAAATTTCTTCTGTTGAGGATTTCTGAATCCAACAAATGGGCGTACATCCTACTGTTTCTTCACAACTACAGCAGACTCATTCAAATCATGGAATTTACCAATGTACTGAGAATTGGTATTCCACAATGAATCCAATGAACCGATTTTAGTTGCAATTCATAGGATTCAGGAGACAACTTAACAAGACCAAAGGATCACTAAATAATACCCAATTCTAAGCACATTTCAGCTGTGGTGATAACAGTGTGCTGTGGAGCTCCTAGGATCTGTTGTTTTGTTCTGTAAACAGAATAAAAGATCTCACAACCTCTGAGGATGCTTGCCATAGATGCAGGTGAAACGTCAGGAGGGAATGCTTCTAGAACATGGCCATATAGCCCGAAAAACTTACAACAACCCAGTGATTCCAGCCATGAAAGCCTTTGACAATACATCGAATAAAATTTCAAAACATTTTAACTATTTAAAATCATAATAACTGACATGATACCTTACCAAGCCCCCCCCCCCCCCCCCCAGCATTGCAAAGCTATGATTGAAAACAACTTACTTATAAAGATTTCTCCCTCCTGGCATATTTTCAAATTCGTTGCTGATGAAGTATCTGTGAAGCAAACAGAAAGGTTATTTATGAGATTTGAAGAAATTCTAACAGAAATTGCCCACTGTCACATACAAGACAAGTCAGAAGTACTCCTGGTCAGTTGGAAGGCAGATCAGGGTGTGGGTTACAACCTGTGTTGCATGGGGTCACAATCCCCCTGAAAACACAGGTCTGCAGTCTGGGAGTGATCCTGGACTCATCGCTGATCCTGGAGACCCAGATGTTGGCAGCGGCCAGGAGCGCCTTCGCACAATTAAAAATTGTATGTCAGCTGTGCCCATACCTTGAGACGTCAGATCTGGCCATGGTAGCCCACGCCTTAGTTCACACCCTGCTTAGACTATTGCAATGCTTTCTACATGGGGCTTCCTTTGAAGATAGTTTGGAAGCTTCAACTGGTTCAGAGACTGGCAGCCAGATTACTAACTGGAGCCCCGTACAGGGAGAGATCCACTCCCATGTTACAGAAGCTCCACTGGCTGGCGGTCTGCTTCCAGGCTAAATACAAAGTGCTGGTCATTAAAGCCCTAACTGACTCAGGTCCAGGCTACTTGACCGACTGCATCTCCTCTTACAAACCAGCTCGGGCACTGCGGTCAGTGGAGGAGACCCTACTCTTGGTCCCACTCCCATCTCAAGTTCGGCTGGTGGGAATGAGAGAGAGGGTCTTTTCCATGGTCGCCCTCCACCTCTGGAACTCCCTCCCTAAAGAAATAAAGCTACCCCCCTCCCTCCTCTCCTCCAAAAAACAACTGTTCACTAGCATATGGAAATGTTTTCATATGTGGGGGTTTTCTGTGATTATTATGTCAGTACTTGTTTGTTTTATGGAGACGCTGAATACTTGACTTTGTATATTGGAATCCGCCCTGAGTCCCCCTGGGGAGATAGGGTGGGATATAAATAAGGTTTAATTTAGATTTATTATTTCAGAGGTAAAATTATTGAAATATATAAGCAGATACAAGACAAAAGGGAAGATTCTAAAACCAGTTACTATGGATTTCTGTATGTATGTGCCTTCAAGTCATGTGCTAACTTATGGTAACGTCATGAATTTCACAAGGAATTAAAGTAGTTTGATACCTTAACTACTATAGCTCAATGCTATGGAATCCTGGGATTTGTAGTTTGGTGGGGCATCGGACATCCTTGGCAGAAAAGGCTAAAGACCTTGCAAAACTACAACTCCCATTGCTCTATGGCGCTGAGCTAGATGTACCCCAAGTCTCACATGAGAAGGAATTTCACAACCTGAAAGCAGCTACCAAGGAGGATCCCTCCCATGTCCTCATAGGACCCAGCAAAACATAAAGTACAAAACCAATTACCTAAACACGTATTGCTGTGAAAGTCAAATATGAAATTATAGCTTTTTGAAATGCAAACAAAATGGTTGTGATTTCTAAACAGAGAGTTGATGAACTATGACATTTACATTATAAGCTATATTGGGTCTCATAAAAATAAAAAGACAGGATAATTATTTTATTATTTTATTATTTATTTATTTATTTACTTCACTTGCATACTGACATTCATTCAGCAATTAAACAGAAATTATTGAAGCTACCTCCTCTTACTGTAATGCACTAAACATTGACACCGTTTGACAGAAACTCACATGAAATTGTTTGTTAGTGCAGCTATGCTGATCACTTCCCATGTTCCATTTGTAACTGGTGTCACCTTCTAAAATTTAAAATAAAGATAGATTAAAATATGATGATTTAAGTACCATGATATAAGATGTAACATCTATGTCACTTACCCCTGTGCTGTCAATGTGGTGGATATGTTTGTATCCTTTTGTGTCACTGATGATTTTGTAATAGCTAATCCCGTCAGCTGTGAAGTAAGGTTCAGATGGCTGAGACTGGAAAAAATGTTCATAAATCCTTTTAATATGTCATTTCATATGTTGATAATACTTAATTCAATAGCCTTAAGAAATGCAGGCACTATAATGCTTCTATGGTTCAGGGTGAAAATACTGCACCCCCAGAACCTACTATTGCCAGAAAGGGATTTAAAATTTCCAAATAGAACAAAAACATGACAAGTTAATTATAGATGCACTACTTCACTTACATGAATTCTATCATCTGCAACTAATTGCAACTGGCCACAGAACTAGATAGCCAGTTGTTCCCAGTTTCATAATAGCCAGGCTCCTTTTTTAATGTAATGATCCAGAAGTATCTTAGCCGTTACCTTTGCCTTTGAGGCCCCTTCTACACTGCCATATAAAATCTAGATTATCTGCTTTGAACTGGATTATACGGCAATATCTCCCCTTTCACTTTCCCTATTTGAAATAAGGAATGTTACGTGGAAAATGAGGATTTATTGAACAAATGTTTTCTTCTACTCATATTACATGAGTTTGTTCAGAAATATTACAAAGCTGTTTGAAACAATAATTTCAAAGCAGTTTGCAACAATAATAAAATATACAATAGATTTAGGGATTTATTGTAAAATTCTCTCATGCTTCTAACTCGGTATGCAGTGGGATAACTAAGGCTGGATCTACACTGCCCTTTATCCAAAGATCCAATCTCAGATTATCTGCTTTGAACTGGATTACATGATTCTACACTGAAAGATAATCTGGGATCAGATCTCGGGAAATAGGGCAGTGTAGATCCAGTCTAAGGCTGGATCTACACTGTCATATAATCCAGATTATATTCTAGTTGACCCAATAGGTGCATTACACTCGCCTTCTTCTGAAGAGTCCTGTATTTCAGTTTTGGTGCTACCTACTGTTAGTTTTGGCTCTGGTTCCTATTTGATTTTTCCAATAGGTCAATAAACCTTTACGATTGAAAAAATATTCCTGACCCTTGTACTACAGAATAATGATATGGTGTGTTGACAAAACTGTTGCTGGTTGGCCAGCCATAGAGTATATTCATTATTAAGGGTGGGGCGGGGGGAGAGAGAATAATATTGGCCCTTTATTGTTACTTTATAGTGCATCCACACTTCCGTTTTCCCCCCTTTCCCTTTGCATAACTATTCACAACGTACACAGTCTGCTCATCATGTTGCTAACTGAGACTTTATGGTGTAGAAGCAAAATGTGTTAGCTGTAAGGTCTTTCCCTTCCTGAACAAGCTTGACAGCAGGTGGGATCATCTCCCATTTGTGTAGTGTAGATTTTTATCCCTCCTGTGCTGTTTCCTTCTTCGATTGGTATATGTTTTTGAAAGCCTTCCTCAGGAAAAGAAAAATGTAAAAGAACATGGCTTGCAAGGGAACAGCGAACAGTTTTTCTATATATTTTCTTTTAAAAAAATTGTACAACACAGCTATATTGTTCTGTTTTCTCCAGTAACAGAATATGGACACGTAAGAGTCGCAAACCTGGCAACTCAACTACCTCTCTTAGTAGAACAGTAATGTCCAGACTGTTTAAGTTTTGTTGTTTTAGCTATGACTTGAATAAATATCTCAACAGGATTTTATCTCTAGCCATTCCAGATGGATGGGCAAGGATTTAGGACCGGGACTTACACAACTCTATTAATGTCAGCCCAGGCAAAAGACCTATTATATTCGGTCATATATATTCACAGCGGTCATAAATACTCTTACAAGTGTAGGGATTCCATCCCACACTGCCCAAGTCTCAAGTCCTTAATGAGGAACAGTTTAGTTAGTTTAGTAAAGACTATGGGTTTTCGTTCCCTGGTGTCTCCTGAATGACAGCTGGGAAGGTATCATTTTCTTCTCTTTTCTCTTTCGGCTCTCTTTCTGATTGGTTGTTTAAAATGGATACTTTTCTACTTCAAGCTTTTTTGAATCTGCCTTCTGCCTTCTTACGCTTTTAGTATGGAGAGTGTGTGGTGTGTGCTTTGAGATCTCTCTCTGCTTGTGTGTCAAGAGAGATGTACTGCTTGGTGTTTTTCCCCTCTCTTGAAATGGGTGTTAGAGTAGCTATTCCATCTTCCAGGAGCTTGGTTTGCATTGCCCCTTAGACCCGTCGCAAACTAGGTTCCTGCGGGAGAAAACCTTGCTAGCACATCCCTGATGTCACGAGACTCCGCCTCTCGCCCCTTTCTCCGCCCCTTTCTCCGTGCCAGCGTGGTTTTTCCTTTGCTAGGGCAGCATTGCCAGCGTACTCTCTCAGTTGGCTGAATTCAACTGAGAGAAAATGCGGGCAATGCTGCCCTAGCAAAGGAAAAACCACGCTGGCAAAGAGAAAGGGGCGGAGAAAGGGGCGGGGAGAGAGGCGCAGGCTCATGACGTCAGGGATGTGCTAGCAAGGTTTTCTCCCGCAGGAACCTAGTTTGCGGCGGCTCTTAGTTGCATAAAATAGCATCCCTTTGCATTTTCCCCCAGGGTTGCTACAGTCTCAGCAGCACCCTGAAAGTTAAACATTAACAGAGTCTGGAAGCCAGCCTGCAAGCCTCTTGCTGTTATTGGTTTAAAAAGGTATCCTTTTGGTCTAGAGACCACCCTTTTTCCTGGGGATGAGATCTCCATTTTGGAGAAGCTCTCTTGCCTTTTTTAGTATAGAAAAAGCCTCAGATGTGCTGGTGGCCAAGCTAGGCAGCTTGGACAGGCCATTGTGAGTACAGCTACTCTCTTGCCTTTGAAACTGGTGCTGAGCTCAGATAGAAAAAGACCTGCTCTTTCTAAAGGATAGCAGCTCAGTGCTGGGGCAGGGAATATCTCAAGATTTCTCTGCCATTGGGAGAGGCTCCATTACTTCATCCCCAAACTAACCTTGAGCTCAGATAGGGGAAGACCTGCTCTTTCTAAAAGATAGCAGCTCAGGGTTAGGGTAAAAGATCCCAGGATTTTTCTAATGTTGGGGGAAAGTTAACTCAGCAGCTGAAGGAAATAACATCTAAATGGTTTCACAAGTTGACTGTTTCTGTTTGTAACTTCATCAAGCTGTGCCAAGTCTGTCAAGAACTTTGAGAAATAAATGTTCTGTTTGATGTTCAAATCTGGACTGGCCTCAGTTGCTGGGAATTCTGAGCTTCTGAGTAAGGCACTCGCAGTTCACCCGGATAAAGAGAGAAGCACATCTTAGTTTTAACTTTATAGTGTCTGGGTGTGACGGCACAGTAGCTCAGACCCAGTTCTTTATTATTAAGAAATGAAGCTATTCTTTACTATTGTGAATAAACCTTTTGTGACTTTTTAAGATTGGGCTCTGCATGTTTGCCTCCTAAGCTCTGAATTCTTTGCCGCCACAGCACACAGCACTTGACACTCTGTTTGCTAATGAACTGATGCTCAACATTTGTATCCTGTTTGTTTTTGGATGCTCTGCTGCTTTATTTTAGGATAGGCTTTCTTAACAAGACACACCCGATTTCATGATATTGGAAGCAAAGTGCCCTTCCACACAGTCATATAACCCAGAATATCAAGGCAGAAAATCCTACAATATCTGCTTAGAAATGGGCTATCTGAGTGCACACTGCCATATATCCCAGTTCAAAGCAGATAATGTGGGGTTTTATTCAGCTGTGTGGAAGGGGCCTAAGCAGGGTTAGCCTTGCTTAGTTTGGACTGGAACCCACTAACAAATATCTGGGGCTGTAGGCTATTTTCAGAGCAAGGAAAGGCCAAACCATCTCTGAATTCTTGCCTGGGAAAACCCAGTGAAGTTAATGGGGGAGTTCAAGGCACATAAATACACATAAACTTATACACAAACAAAGTACTGTTTTCAACTCTACTAATAGATGGATCACTACACTATGTAACACAATTTTTGTTCCTGGGCCCCCTTCCACACAGCTGAATAAAATACCACATTTTCTGCTTTGAACTGGAATATATGACAGTGTGGACTCAGATAACCCAGTTCAAAGCAGATATTGTGGGATTTTCTGCCTTGATATTCTGAAATACAGGACAATGTGGAAGGGCCCTGGGTTATCAATGGCATTTCCCAATTGTTTCTATTATAAAAACATGGAAAAAGTGTATTAAACTGCAAAAACTTAGTTGCTGCAATACATTCTGCAGCACATTTTGCTATAGTTTTTCAATATCTCATTGAGTCTCAGGGCCCCTCCACACAGCCTTATAACGTAGAATGTCAAGGCAGAAAATCCCACATTATCTGAGTGTGGACTCAGATAACCCAGTTCAAAACAGATATTGTGGGATTTTCTGACATGATATCCTGGGATATAGGGCTGTGTGGAAGGGCCCTCAATCAATTCAATGTAGTTTCTGACAGCCACAAAAAACTAAGTTTCTGGAGTAGAACAATGACTTTCAAAGAAAGTCCCACACAGTTAAAGAAGAAACACTTTCATATTTTGTTCTGGAGGCCCTTCCACACAGCCCTATAGCCTAGAATATCAAGGCAAAAATCCCACAATATCTGCTTTGAAATGGGTTATCTGAGTCCACACTCAGATAATGTGGGATTTTCTGCCTCGATATTCTGGGATATAGGGCTGTGTGGAAGGGCCCTAGGATGACAATTCACGTAGGAAGAAGGACATTTGGAGCTAAGTGCCTCCTTCTCTATTCTTACACTGGAAAATACCTCTTCAGAGTTACCCTCTGTAAAGGAAAGGCATCTATAGACTTAACTTTAGAGACATGGGCTGTGTAACATGTATATTTGAGCCTTGAGCAGACCTGGTCCAGAAAGGGAATTTATATATAAATGGAAAATACTCACTCTGCCTATCCAGCCAGTTTTACTTTCTTCTATACGCTGCTTATCCTGAAAGGGAAAAGGGGAAAAATAAAGTAAAAATGTATCCTGCATTGTTCTGCCTCCTGAATCTAAAAGCCAATATGTACATAATTTCTTTTTTTTTTCAAGTACTCCTTATCTAAAGTTGGCACTTTTTTGCATACCTGTGGGCATTGCCATGTTCCATTTTGTCTAGCGAAGTCACATATGTCAAGAACGGAAAAATTCTGAATTCTTCTGAGCCACTGAAGACAGATTCTCTCATTTGTCACCCATGTTACAACGCTCAAGTAGTGGTCCCTGGACATTAAAAAAAGGATTCTAAGCATACAATTGCGCACACATTCAAATCTTAACACTAAAAACCAGGGATTACCATTTACATTCCTCTGAACACCTGATGTATTATACCATTTGCAATAGCTGCTACATATCATTTGGTCTTTTGTAATTGACATTATTAACCTCATGGAGCAATGAATTACAGATGCGGGTTTAAACCTTGATAACATATAAAAGTTTGCTTTTTTAACGAAGGCTTGACTTTTGTGGAATACATAAACTATTTTTCAGTCTAAAAACAGATGACTTTTTCAACTTCTTTCTTTACCTCTATAACAAAAATAAATGTCTTCAAATACTTCCAGCTGTCTTTCCATTCCCTTTATCCTTTTTTCTAGGTCATGGATCTGGCTGTTGGAGGATATGTATCCCAGTTCGTCTTCATAATCAATTACATCTGAACGACATGTTTTGGGCTCTTATTGTGAGTTGCCACTCTTAGCCAGGCAGATGGGACAGTTCAGTCCCTCAGAGTTGAGTTTTGCTACAGAATTCACAAAGAACTAGATCTACAAGATAGGCATTTTATGACATTGTCACCCCAAAAGTTGTAAGCAATGTCCTCAAGTTTCAGCCACCTGCTACGTGCATTTGTTGTTGCTGTTTTAACAGCAAAAAAACAGGTGGGACAAAATGGTCTGAACAAATCTACTGCATTTGCGTTCATTACAATTTTTTGCAAATAAGGAGGGCTGACAGCTACTCAAAACAAACGTTCCTCTTCACGTCGATGCTAAGAGCTTTTTGACAGAGGAACAGACTACCTCAGCAGGTGGTGGGCCCTCCTTGGTTGGAAGTTTTTAAACAGCGGTGGGATGGCCATCTGTCAGGGTGCTCCAACTATGGATTACTGACAGGGGCTTGGACTAGATGACCCTTGGGATTGCTTCCAATACTACAGCTTTATGGCTCTGTGGAAACCTGCACTTTTCTGGTTTGGGACATTTGGGTATTGTGACATTCCTGTGGTCACGAAGCCATTTATATTCCCCAATACATTGGGATCCGTACTGAAGTTAAGTGATACAGCAGATTAAATCACTTGAGGAGGGTTAAGTACAGGTTCATTCTTCCAAACACTGAATATCTGAATAATCCAAAATGAATAATCCAAAAGACAGAATATTTTTTAAAAAGTATTAAAACTATCACTGAATGAAAAAGAAGAAGAAAGACAGAAAAGAATGATTTGGTGATTAATATGTTTTGTGTATGTAATTATGCAGGGCTGCTGTCACATTCTTCCCTGTCACATGCTTTCTTTCCCATAATAAAATAATCCTTTGCTGGCACAGGAAAGCCAGAACACACAGAGCGTAAAACTGTCTGCAAGGGCTTCCTCTTTTGGTTTTCAATAGAGAGAAACAGCTTTGCGTGAAAAGGGGGAAATGTGAAAAGCTGCTCCATTATATTTAAAATGAAGACACTTACAGCATTTGTGTATTGCTGTGTGCCTAGACCACTTTGGAATAGAGGAAATGCATTAAACCCTAGGGAATGTACTGTAAAATGAAACAAAATTGCTCAACATATTTGCTCTCAATCCTCATGTAAATACAAGCATGTGTGTGTTTTGAAATGCAGCAATAGATATTCCTGAATGCTCAGATTAAATGTATATTTAAGGAGGTGGGAACAGACCAAATGAAGGCATCGCTATAAGAAATTATTTATTTATTTATTATTATTTATTTACAATATTTCTATCCCACCTTTCTCAGCCCAAAGGGAACTCAAGGTGGCGTACAAATTGGCAACAATTTGATACCACAACATATAGAAATATCAATTAAAACATTTAATATAGCATAATAAAAATCCATATAAAACATTAAAACTATAATCATCAATGTCTTCCAGTTAATCTCATTCTCCATTAGCATCGTTTAAGCTGTTCAGTGTTTGCTCTTTCATAGCACCATGTTTATCTATTACACTGCATTTCCAAAAGTTTGTTTGAAGACCCATGTTTTTACTTTTTTCTGGAAAGCCAGGAGGGAGGGGGCCTATCTAATATCCCTAGGAAGGGAGTGCCACAGCCAAAGGGCCACACTGAAAAGGCCCTGACTCTCGTCCCCACCAAATGCTCCTGCAAGGAAGGCAGGATCGAGAGCGGGCCTCCTCACATGATCTTAAGTTCCTATATGGTTCATAAGGAGAGATACATTCTAACAGGTAAGCTGGACCAGAACTGTTTAGGGCTTTATAGGCTAAAGCTAGCACTTTGAATTATAGGTTGATAAAGTGAACTTCCCTATAATATTAATACATACATCAACATTTCAGCTTTGCTGTAGCATTAATATGGATCTTATTCTACTGGCCACAGTGGTCCATGCTCTTGTTACATCCCGAAAAAATTACTGCAATGCACTCTATGTAGGGTTGCCTTTGAAGACTTCAGAAACTTCAATTAGTCCAACGGGCAGTGGCCAGATTACTCACCAGAGCGTCATACAGGAAACATACCACCCCTCTGTTATGTCAGCTCCACTGGCTGTCGATCTAGTTCCGAGCACAATTCAAAGTGCTGGTTTTGATCTACAAAACCCTATACGGCTCCGGCCCAGCGTACCTGTCCGAACGCATCTCCTTCTATGTCCCGCCTCGGAGTTTAAGATCTTCTGGGGAGGCCCTGCTCTCAGCCCCACCTCTATCACAAGTGAGGTTGGTGAGGATGAGGAGCAGGGCCTTCTCGGTGGTGGCCCCTCACCTGTGGAATTCGCTTCCCGGGGAAATTAGGTCATCGACATCCCTCCTCTCTTTTAGAAGGAAACTAAAAACATGGATATGGGACCAGGCCTTTGGGTAATCTGGCAGACAGACAAAGGACAATGATGACTAGAATTGGATAGGATTATGACAATGCGGAATGAACCTACGGATTTTGAGCTTGGTGAACGTTGATCACTAGATTGGTTTTTTAATTAGTTGTATTGTATAACTGGATTGTTTTAATTATTTTATCATTGTTGCTGCTATGTATTTTATCTTACTATGTGTATTCCTGGCATCGAATTGTGCCTTTTGTAAGCCACCCTGAGTCCCCCTTCGGGGGTTGAGAAGGGCGGGGTAGAAATGCTCGAAATAAATAAATAAATATTCTAGTATAGCACATATTGAGAAGAAGAGTCATATTACTTGATAACCAAGGGCCCTTCCACACAGCCTTATATCCCACAATATCAAGGAAGAAAATCTTCCTTCCAAAATATCTGAATTGAACTGGGTTATCTGAGTCACTTAGATAATGTGGGATTTTCTGCCTAGATATTCTGGGATATAGGGCTGTGTTGAAGGGCCCCAACTCTCTACCAGCAACCTTTTCCTATTTGTCATGAAATCCTATAAATACTTTTTTTAAAACAAAAAATCTGAATTCTAATATATCATTACACTCTTGTCCAGTTATATGAATCAATAAAAACAAAATGTACAAAATTTTTGGACATACCCAGATTTTATGCTTGCTGGTGCAACGATTTCAGTAGCATTGGAAAGAGGTTGGGTATTCACAATAAAGAGCCTTATGGTTGGATTTGTAGCACCTGCCTAGAGAAAAATACAACACTTCATACCACAATTTAGATTCTACATTGAGCATGTTTCCATTATAAAAGCACAATCAACTTGAAAGTAGTTTTAATTCTAAGACACCATCTGAAATATCAGAAACAAAATATGAAAGAAAAAGTTAAGTGCTGTCCAAGAGAGATTGTGCAACTTTGTTAAAAATTGCACAGGCCTTTTGAAAACATTCTGCAAAGCCAAAAGTAAATATTTAACTTGATGTAGAAAAGAAATACTATACTTTCCATGAGTTTGTGGAAGAAATGGATGCAGAATACATAATACTTTCCTCCTAAGTTTCGCAAAGGATTCCAAACACACACATTTGACCTCAGACAGTACGGAAAAGAATCAGGAAAATAACAAGAAAAAGGGATCGAAGGAGCAATTATGCTGCTTACTTTAATGCTTTCCTGCCTCTGAAGGGTATAGGGAGGGGAAAATATGTCTAAGGGCGATACAGAAAAGTTGCAGAAGTGCCCATCTATAAAATTCATTAGTTTACATGTATGTGTAAATACACATCCTTATGCCTGTCCCAGTCCCATGAGAAGAAAGTGCCTGCTTAATTTTGGGAATCTTATTTCAACCCATTTAAGCAAGGAAAAGACAAAGCCATATGGTGCTTCAGGCTTGACTTTTCCACTTGAAGAATTTGCATGCAGTCTGTTCAGTCCATAAGCTAGTGGTTCCCAACGTTTGGGCCACACACAGCCCAGTGGTGGGCCACGAGACCTAAAATCAAGTCCACAAGACATGTGGATAGTAACACAGCCCAACCAAAATATTTTCTTGGTGTCTTCATTTTTAGGTCTGTTCCCTGGGTTATTTAGGGTGCTGATTCAGAAAATTGCATTGGATAGACCACATCAGCGCTAGATTATTAAATACGGTTTTCTGTGGGTGAGCAGATAGCAACTACTGGATGACATATGTCCTGTATCAGAAACTAGAGCTAAGGTGGTTTACCCAATGCCGTTTTATGAATCAGCACCCCAACTAACCAAACCCAAAGCTAAAGTTGACCAAAAACTGATTCGTAACCCTTTTGGTACTAATGTTGGAGAGTGGTCCCTGGCCAAGTGGTCCCTGGTCAAAAAAAGGTTGGGAACAACTGCTGTAAGGATATGACCATCCACCCTAAGTATATAAAGGAGCTCCACGTGAAAAGTTACTGTCACCTTCAGAAGAGGCAAGTAATGAGGAAAGACCAATTAATTCTGTATGATAAAAAGAACCAGTCAACAATTCATTTAGGAAGAACAAGACATTTTCCTTCTTTTAATCCCCATCAAAATGGATTGCAGCAAACCATTTCAGAAACTTTTAAAATTCCAAAGCTCTAATTTGCACTTTTATTTCCTGTTTCTGTAGAGATAATATAATACTTCATTGCTGCCAGATGCTATTGACTTAAGTCACAGTAATCACAGCAAGCTGTTGAGGAGAGACAGACAATATTTTTGTTAGCAGCAACTGATTAAATGTGACTATTCTCCTAATCAAACTGCTCAACAATCATGTTTAATAAATAGCACAGACCTTAGGATATGGGATTCTAATGGTCTTTGGGTATTGCAGCGTATCTTCTGAATAAAATGAATACTCAATAACAGGAACCTTGGTATCATCCGTCTCTGCATATGCTAAAAAACTGCCATTTGGAGACCACCACAGAGCAGAATGAGTGCCAAACATTTCCTCTGAAAGAGATGCAAATGTGTTATTTTGAAGCAATAGTCGATAAGTTGGCTCCTGTCCTGAAACAATGTACTTATTAATCTGTATATCATTTCAAATGGAAGTTTAGCTGCTAATATTCAGAACACTTCCCCTAGCTTGTGTCTAATATAACAACTGAAGACTCCAAAATGCCCTTCTATGGAAATATTGTGTCACAGAAAGTCGGCTTCAATAATGAATAGCAAATTCTAACTCTGTATCTTATCATGATTTGGTATTAACTACTACCACCACCACCAGAACTATGGTTAACTAGATTTACCCCATGTTACCAACCAAGAAGTTTCTGCATATCATGTGGATGTCCAAGAGCTACATCTAGTTGGAATCAAAGTACTGGGCCAATGTATATAAGCTCTCTGAGAATGTAAGTTGCCCAAGGCCACCATGGAAGTTTCCATGGCTGGAATCAGACTCCGATCTCTCAGAGTCTGAGGGTGCACCTACACTGTGGAAATAATGTAGTTTGACATTACTTTAACTACCATGAGTACTGTAGCTTTAGAAGATATTTTGTCTTTGTGCTAGGACCTCACCTAACTACACCTCCCAGGATGACATAGCATTGAGTCATTTCAGTTACAGTGGTGTCAAACTGCTTTAATTATACAGTGTAGATGGCATACTTGGCCAATCTTCAAACCACTACACCACATTGGCCCACAACAATATAGCTATTGTTATGCAATAATTACCTTCATACACCCAATCTGCTAATCCATTAAAAATTCTATTTTCTTCTCCATTGTGGGTGATTTGTATATCAGGATCATTTGGGGTTTGTCTGATGTAAATGTTGTTATTTAAAACATAAGCCTGTCAGAAACAGAGCAGAACAACAGATAATGATATTTTTGTAGGTACAGGTAAAGGTTTTCCCCTGATGTTAAGTTCAATCATGTCTGACTCTGGGGGTTGGTGCTCATCTCCATTTCTAAGCCAAAAAGCCAGCATTGTCCGTAGGCATCTCCAAGTTCATGTGGCCAGTATGAGTGCATGGAGTGTCATTACCTTCCTGCCAAGGCAGTACCTATTGATCTACTCACATTTGCATGTTTTCGAACTGCTAGGTTGGCAGAAGCTGGGGCTGACAACAGAAGCTCACACCACTCCCAGGATTCAACAAGTTTACCAGCTCGATGGTTTAACCCACTGTACCACCGGGGGCTGTAGCTCTTCAAAATTATTCCATTTTTCTTCTCAGTTGCTTTACAATTACTTTTATTTTACATATTTTACATATCAGTCTGATATGTATCAGTTTAATCCATTACTTCTGGTGGCACAATGGGTTGAACCGTGTGCCAGCAGGAATGCTGACCAATAGGTCAGGGGTTCGAATCCAGGGAGAGCGGGTTGAACTCCCTCTGTCAGCTCCAGTTCCCCATGCAAGGGACATGAGAGAAGCCTCTCACAAGGATAGTAAAATATCAAAATAAACTGACAACATCGTTGCAGATGTTCAATTCTTTCACAACAGAAGCGACTTGCAGTTTCTCAAGTTGCTCCTGACACGAAGAAAAAAAAAATCAGGCTGAAACTTGAGATCTTTTATGTGGTGGATGGTGCTAAAGGTTCTTCCCAGCTATGAGTTTCCCATGTTATCCTCATGCTCAATAGTTAATAAACAGTATTAGTGTTCAGTTTAAACCTACAAATGACCTATTTAGACAATTAAATGGATTTAGCAGTATTAAAAACTCTAGAATCAGGACAGTAAATAAAGAGCAACACTCAAAAAGCAGGGGAATTCCAGACAGGAAACAATCAGGGTCAGCTAACACCTCCCAACAAAGGATTCCCACAGGCAGGAAGTAGCCAGGCTTTGAAGCTGCAAGGTCATTCAATGCTAATCAAGGTGGCCAATTGCAACATTCACACTTGCCTCCAGCAGACAAGAGTTCTTTCTCCCACCTGGACATATATCAACCTCACTTGCCTTATTTCCAACAGACCTCACAACTTTTAAGGATGCCTGCCATAGATGTGGGTGAAACATCAGGAGAGAATGCTTCTGGAACAAGCTCAGTCTGGAAAACTCACAGAAAGCCAATTAAATTGATTGTTCTACCTTTTTCATATTTTTGTGCTCCTTCTTTCCTAGCTATTCCATTTCCTTTTTTATTTTGTTGTTAGCATTTAGGGGTTTTTTTTATTCTTATTCAATATTCTGTGTTATTGAAGGCTATTTTGGAGATTCTCTCATTACTCTTTTAGCCATACAGATTTTGGTATACTTAAATTTTAGGATAACATCCCCTCTAACAATGTGTCTCTTGAATGTGACTGATCCAATTTTGGCTGCACACAAATAGGTACAGGGAGACCTGACGATGTTCAAAAGAAGGGTGGTAAGTAGAGTGGATGGGCATTTCGCTTTTTACTAACCAATTTATGACCAACAGGTGACCAGGTTATGTACTGGATATTTGCAGGAAGTTGTGTGCCTGTTATTAGAGACCTGGGAGAAATGAAAACACAATTTTTTTAAAAAAAGACTCAAAGGAATGTAATCCATATCATCATTGTGACACTTTGATAAGCGAGCAATGTTACTGACCTGCGATCCAAATCATAGAGGTAATATGATGCTTTGTATGAGTGCCTCCACACCTACAAAAAGAGCATTTCAATACAAGGGGAGAAAAAGCAAAAATGAGCAAGAGGGTACATCAGTCTGGCATTCAGTTTCCTCATCATACTCCAAGATCATTGTAGAATTGCTAACAAACCAGGAAACAAATATACTTCCAGGAAACAAGGAGCTGGAAGTATATTTGGCCAAAGACTCATGTGTAGTCAGAGCACTCTGATAATGTCTTTACTGCAATGAGAACATCTACTTGGGAATGACCAAGGTAACACATGTCTCCTGATAGACTAGCTTACTTCAAGTGTAATGGTAAACTATAGTTGGTATAATTTAAATGAGCCTTGTGGCCATGACTCCCTCTTCCTCAGAATGATATTGCATATCACGTACTCATATCACTCAACATTTAACTATCTTTACAACTACCTCCCTCTCTCACTCACATATCTACACATAAATGAAAATATACACATTTCAAAATCCCAGTACAATATTGCTAAAATGCAGATACAATACTGGCTGATTCCATAAACATTTATTTCCAGAGTAAGAACAAGAAATAGGACTTGTTTGCATAATTTATATTATGTTTGCAAGATATATACATTTTTGGCTGTAGATATTAGGTAGATAAGGTAGGTTTTGTTTTTTTTAGATCTGGTTGAGAACAAACTATAAAGTATCAACAGGTTGCAGTATATACTCAAATATAATGGGCAACAGAGCCTGGAGGCCATTGCTTGCAATATATGATATATTTCTCTCTCCTCTTATTTTGGTCGACAGTGTTTTCTTTTCCAGTCAAAAGGGAGGGAAGGAGGGAAAGGAGATATATTTCATGTCCTCTTTGTTTGTATACTTCTCTTTCAAACCCACCCAATTTCCTGGTTTTGTGTGTGTGTGTATCTAAATGTATTAACTTTATATGTGATATATAGGACTTGTAAATATTGAAGGGGAAATGCACACACACACAGCTGTCTAAATAGATATATATGAATATAAATATATAGGGCTTGCAAATATTGCAGGAGGGAAATGTATATGCAGAGAGAGAGGATTTGAAAATGTTTCAGGGGAAATGAATATGTAAAATTAGTATATATAATTATAGATCTATATCTAGCTCTGTATTGTTTATATAGGCATTGACTGTTTGCCTGTTACTATGCTGGAAGCCAGCCTGAGTCCCCATGGGGAGATAGGGTGGGATACAAATGAAGTTTTATTATTATTATTATTATTATTATTATTATTATTATTATTATTATTATGTTATTGTTGATACCATATTGTTTTTGTTGACGCTACTTTTCCACTTACAGAGCTAGTTTACTGTTTTTCTTTGAAATACGGTAAATATTCAAAAACATTTAACCTATTGATGCCTCAATTAATGTAATTTTATTGGTATCTATTTTTATTTTGAAATTTACCAGACATTGTATTTCTCACCCTTGGCTGATACTCGAGTCAATAAGTTTTCTCGGTTTTTTGTGGTGAAATTAGGTGCCTCAGCTTATATTTGGGTTGGCTTATACTCGAGCATATCCGGTAATTGGTCAAAGCATAGCAAAATAAAAAAGCTTTTTTATTTTGTCCTGACTAAAATCTGAACCTTTTACTAATACAACACAGATTAATAGAAAGAACTAAATTAATTTCATCGATACCTTCTCATAGCTGTATCTTAAAAGAGCATATTTCTGGTCAGGTGACAAAATTACTTCAGAACTGTTATAACTGGCCTGTTGACATAGGAACAAAAGTGTTATGTTAGAAAACAAGATAACTATGGCTGCATATATTGTAAGGAAAATGATCAGCTTACAACTTCTTGAGAAGCTGAAACATATAATATTCATAAAAACCTACTAATGTTCCGTTTGTTAAGACGATGGTCTGTGATCCATTGTCAACATCAAAGAGAAGAACATTACTCTGGTTGACGTGGATATATTGATGTCCTAAAAGAGAAAAAGGAAGATCGCCATTTCATGATGATAAACCAATTACCATCACCACCTTATAGGAATTTATTGCATTTGGTATCCTACAGTAAATAGACAATATGATATGTAGCTATTCAAAGGCTGTAAATAGCCTTTAGTTTCTAGGTGAAGATGCTTGGAGCTCTTATTTCTGAATGCATGGAATTTAGGATCTCAAAGTGGAATTCATTAATTATGTACATTTAGAAATCAGGACTACAAAGCAACAGCAGGAAAAGGGAATTGTTGAGCTGGTTGACATATAAATTGTTGAGCTGGTCCCTATAAAATGGGCAGCAGAAGATATAGATATAATGCTCTTCAAAAAGAGAGAATTTTGAGATTTTTGCAATGATGATACCAAGATGGATCATCATTGCAAGGCTTTCTTAGGAGAGCATGAAGCAAAATAAGAGACAACTGTCATAAAACCAACTTAATAAACTAAATCTTTTTGCATTTCCTGCAGCACTAGTGCTTCATTAGTCACACATGTCTACTAATGTATGTCCTGAAAGATGGATGTCAGCCTAGGAATGCATGATAAGCATCGAGGAGCTTTGATTACCAAGGATCCCATGAGTGGTTTTTTCTAAGGGCACTTCCACACAGAATATCAAGGCAGATAATCCACAATATCTGCTTTGAAGTATGAATTACAGTATCTGAGTCCACACTGTCAGATAATCCAGTTCAATGTGGAATGTATATAGCTGTGTTGAAGGGGCCTTAGTGTGCATATGGCCACATTTTGCAATTAAATCTTCTGTATGTCAGGAAAGCAGTCCCAATACATTCCAAAAATAATATGTTGGTTACCTGAAATCCACTGCAAGTTGTATGATTTGTATTGAAACTGATCACTCAAATAATCCTGTAGAGTAAATTTCCTGCGGGGATCAGGAGTATCTGTCAAGAAGAGGGAAAGGTAAGAATGCTATAGGATGTTATCCATCTAAAGCAATGGTTCCAAACCCTGCTCCTTTCTATATTTTGGATTTCATCTCCCAGCATCCTAGAACTTAGGCCAAGATGGATGAGGATTCTGGGAGTTGAAGTCCAAGACATGGAAGCCCAGAGTTTGGGAATCACTGCCCTAAAGTAGTCTGCCTAAAACGTAATGCATGAGCAAGGAAGAACGTATTATTTCAAGACATTGTTGATTACATCTGCTCTGGTGTAAAAGCAAACCCAGGCATTTTTATATTGGGAAAATTAAAAAGCAAACATAAGGATGTTAATTGTTTTTCAACTCAGCTTTTGTCTATGTTCTATGGACTTTTATTTTGTTACACCAGTCACACCTGGAGGTAATTAAAGAACATAACAGATTTTTTAAAATTATCATAATAACCATTAAGATCTAGGACTGAAAAAAATAAGATAAGTATTGAAAGTACCTTCCATCAAAGTCAATAAATACTTTCTTGCAGCTATTTATTTTCCCCAAATGCACCTGGTTTGTGCATTGTCTTCCATTGACCTTTAGCCCCTTTGACTTACTATTGTGTTTCTTATATTTCTAGGGCCTGTTTCTTATTTGTCAGTGTTTGGTCAATCCAGAACAATAGCCCCATTCTTCCAGGTGGCATTTTATCCAAATTGGAAAGTTCCCATCCTCTGTCACACCACTCCGTCTCAGACTTGGCCTCTCTTTCTCCTACACAACTCTCATTTTCTCTCTGTGTGTGTGTGTGTGTTAATCTTGTACTTTGTGGTAGCAAAGGCTCTGTATCCACTCCCCCAGATTACATGGTTCATTCAATATGCTGATTTCCTTATGATTCCAACATTTTGTGCAACACCTGCATCTCTTGAGAAGAAAACCGCTCTATACACATGTGGGATGGTGGGATAGAAAACATTTGGCAGATGACATGAATAGGGAAAAAATTGTAAACCTATAAATCAATGTAAAACATAGGCAGCTTGGTTTCTTCCAGATGTTTTGGCCTACAATTAACATCTAGTCTTCCAGTTTTTAACTTCAAGAACCAACCTGTCAAGGTCACAGGTGCACGACAGAGGGCCCTTCCACACAGGCATATAACCCAGAGTATCAAGTCAGATAATCCACAATATGTGCTTTGAATTGGATTATCTGTGTCCATACTGTTATATAATCCAGTTCAATGTGAATTTTATACAGCTGCGTGGAAGAGGCCGAAGACACCAACTTGCAAAATGGGAAGTTGGATAGTCTGAAAGAAAAGTATTCTGAGAACTATTGTTGGTGGACTTTGGGCCCTTCCACACAGCCCTATATCCCACAATATCAAGGCAGAAAATCCCACAATATCTGCCTTGAACTGGGTTATCTGAGTCCACACTCAGAGAATGTGGGATTTTCTGCCTTGATATTCAGGGATATAGGGCTGTGTGGAAGGGCTCTTCATTGATGTTCTTGGGTGCAGACCTCCACATAACAGAACAGGGAGGGAGGACTGGAAGACCCACATATATCTGCAAGCTGTATTTCTCATTTCATAGAAATAGGAAAATGCATTTTAATGACTAGTGACTACTTCTTACGCAGTAGCAACAATTTGCAGCGCTCAGAGCAGCATTACAAAAATAAATAAAACTACCAGCAGAAAATGCTAACAGTTAAAAACAGAGTGAAGTGTACCAGATGTAACCAATCTTAAAAGGCCAATAAAAACCATGTACCCTAGCCCACTCCGCCCTAGCAAACCTCTAGGTACAAAACATATGCTGTGAGAAATAAATGAAATAACAGTGGGTTGTTGCTAGCCCTGCGCACCCACTCACAGAAAAAGAAATCCAGATACATTTCTGCGTAAATATGGCCATTATCCTGTCCATATTTATTTGGGAGTAAATCCTATTTAATTCAATGGAGTTTACATTTGAATAAACATATACAGAGGCTCTTTGGTATCTGCTGGATTTGGTTCCAGGAACCCCATGGATATCAAAATCCATGGATGCTAAAGTCCCATTGTATACAATGCTGTACCAAAATAGTGATGCTTATTTAAAATGACAAAAACACATGTGCTGGAGAGAGCCTGGGGATCTGTGAAATAGGAACAGGTTATAACAGGTTATGTCTAAACATCACCATAGCATTGCATTGCATGGCATGGCATACACAAAATTGGATTTTTGGATTTTTCCCCCAAATATTTTTGAGCTGTGGTTGGATGAATTCTTAAGCGTGGAAAGCCAACTGTACAGAATCATTTTGTTGATATACAGACATTGTATTATTTCAAATAGTCTCCATTAATAAATATTCTGTTTCCTTATGGACGCCGCTTTTTATATCTATGGCATTTACTTTCCTTGTGGTCAGAAGGCACACCTTGATCACTGACTCATGCAAAAACACAAGGGTGGGTTCCTTATCTCATGATGAATTCCACTCTAGCGTAGTTAGAGAACCTATGCCTTTCATAACAAAAGTCCAAGGATCCAGTCCTAGCAGATCCAAACACGGATGTGAAAGACTGAAGAATCATTGCCAATGAGGATAGGCTCCAGTGGCCTAATTCAATGTAAAAAAACAAAACAAAAACTTTTCTGCTCTTGCACAAATTATAAGGGTGTATCTACACTGGGGAATTAATGCAGTTGGACACCACTTTAACTGCCTTGGTTCAATACTATGGAATTCTGAGTCCAAATAATAATAATAATAATAATAATAATAATAATAATAATACCAACAACAACAACAATAACAATAATAATAACCACAACAATTTTATTTTTATACCCTGCCTCCATCTCCCCAAAGGGACTCGAGGCGGCTTACATGGGGCCAAGCCCAATCAACAGAGTTAAAACACAGCATATTAGAATGCATAACATCAATTTAAAACAACATTAAACAACATTATAGCAAAATATAAAATAACCATCAAAACCAACAACAATAGCATAATTCAAGTCTCAATATGGGTGGGTGGATTGGTGAACAACAATTCAGAGGATAGGGCCAATGTGTAAAGTGCTTAAGTCATATAGCAGCGTTAAGGATAAGAAGGATCATTCTAATTTTGGATACAACAGTAGTAAAGTGCATGGGAAAAATTGAGACCAACAATTCCCATGATTCTCCACGAGGCATGGGCAAACCAGCCCTCCAGGTGTTTTGGACTTCAACTTCCACAATTTCGGAATTGTGGGAGTTGAAGTCCAAAACACTTGGCGGGCCGAAGTCTGCCCATGCCTGTTCTATATCATTGAGTCAACAGTAAAAGTGGCATCAAACTGCATTAATTCTACAATGTAGATGTGCCTTGCTACAAGCAGGGATTTCCCTTCCAGTTAGTTATAAAAATAGTATACATCAACTCTCAAGAATTTTGGAAACACTGGTTTGTACTCTAGTTATTCTAAGAGTTAAGTTGCACATTCTCCTAGTCTAATAGAATGATAGAGCATGTTGTTTCACACACGTGCAGTATACTGATGGCCTCTTTATTTTGTCAATTTGTAAAGCACCACTGAAGCAATGACAGCACCTAGGTCACTTCGACATAGAAGACACTTTAACTATTAGATGGAACTGTGCCGCCTTCTATCTTTTGTCCTCCTTAATGGATTTTCTGCAATAATCGAAAATGATGCAGGTTGGATTAGAAGCAAAAGTTTATATCATATTCGGGGGGCCCATAAACTTCATTTAGATGCTCACAGAATGATAGCGCGTGGTGTTTTGTACGCATTTGCAGCATGTTGGCGCCCTCTTTACCGTCTGCTTATAAAGCACCACTGAAGCAATGACAGCATCTAGGTCACTTTGACATAGAAGACCCCTCACTTTAGCTATTAGAAGGAAGTGTGCAGCCTTAATGGATTTTCTGCAATAATGAAAAATTACGCCGGTTGGATTAGAAGCAAATATTTACAACATTTTAAGGAGCCCCATAAAATTCAATTAATGTGGCAGGGCAATAACAAACAGCTTCATTTGGAAACTCACACACTCCTCAACTCAAGATGAGACAGAGACAATATTTATTGGAAATAATATAAAAAAACAAACAAACCAAAAAGCAATCAGGGTGATTTGAAACATCTTTGGACAATTTTAATAAGTATCCTTTCACACTACATTATTTTGAATACTGGTGCAATTCCTCATTAAGAAAAGGTTAAAATGCTGTCGTAATCTCCAGCAAGTATTAAGCAGGATCAAAGTCCATTCTGATAATACGGTCACATGTTCAGGACAGATTTACAATCTTTTTTGAGAGTCCTCAAATGTCTTACATTGCTTTCTAAGAAATTACAGCAGAAACACTGTAGCAACTAAACCAAGCAAAGCTATTCTCTCTCACACACATCCAATCTTTGGGAGAAAACAACAGAAGCTTTTTCCTACAATCAAGGTAAAAAAAAGTAAAAATGAAAGACTGAAAAATCAAACTCTCACAAATAGATACATAAGCTATTTGGCATGTCAAAGAAAAGACAAATATGAAAAGTAAAAAGAAATTCAAGCAGAAAAAAAGCAGTAAGTCAAAGGAAAGAGAGTTTTGGGGTCTCCAATGAGAAGGCTCTCGCTTTTGTGCCTACTGACCTTATCATCATCATCATCATCTTACTTTTCCTCTCTCAAGAGAGTCTCAAAGCGGCTAACACTACAATCATACAATGTGTGAATTAAAGCCCAAAGCATTCTGAATGGTATGCACTCGAGGAAGGCGCTTGATTCTATGGGCAAAGCAGAGGCGGCCCTAGGTAATTTTCAAAGGTAAACAAACAGTATTTTGCCCCCCCCCCCGCCCCCAACCAATCATTGTTATATATTTTCTGTTCGTCGTGGGAGTTCTGTGTGCCATATTTGGTTCAATTCCATCATTGGTGGAGTTCAGAATGCTCTTTGATTGTAGGTAAACTATACATCCCAGTAACTACACTTGCCGCACTTGCTC